GGCTGAGGACGGCCCTCTTCAAAAGCCTCCACAACATCCTCGTGGCACCCCACATGTTCGGCCTGCACGCACACCCACTTCCCTCTCACATGGTCCGACACACGATTCTCGGGGTTCGGGTGCTGGTGCGTCGGGTCGCGGCTTGATGGGGAGGGCGCTCCAACCGGGCCAATGGTCCGAGTTGGCTCACCGCGTTGTGGCTGCGTCGGCGGGGTCGTCCGTTGTCACGGGGCACATTGACGGGGTGGAGGTACGGGTACTCATCGACACGGGAGCTTCGGCGACTATCATTTCCGATTTGATTTATAATATCCTGCCCCTTCAGAGTCACCCGTTGCTCCCCTGTCGACATACCGTGTTACGCTGCAAACGGGGACTCGTTAGGTATCATCGGCCAAATTCGAGTGCTAATTTCTATCGGGGACATTAAACTATCTGGCCCGGTGTTGGTCTCCTCCTCGCTGGCAATTCCGTGCCTGTTGGGGACAGACTTTTTGGCCAAATTGCCTATCAAAATTTTGATTGACCAGGGATGCATCGAGCTTCCATCGGACCGACATATAACGTTCCTGCCTTCCACCCCTGCCTTGCGTACTGCCTGTGCAACGGTACAGGCGCTCGTTGCTCGAACGGTGCGCGTACCCCCGGGGGCACAGATGCTTGTGCCCCTACGGTTGCGTCGACCGTTCGCTAATGGGGTCTCAGACCGGGGCATTATACTGGGGCCGTCTAGGGCCGGGGTGAATGGGCCAGATTTGGTGACGGCCCAGACTATTGTTAAAGGGGATGAGGACCCGTTTATCGCGGTCCTCAATGTCGGGACACGGACGGCGGTGGTTTCACAGGGAACCGTGTTCGCACATGCGATTCCGGTACCTGCGGAAACGCCGGTCATTGGCCAAGTGGCCACCGATTCTCAGTCGCGACTGCCCTCAGACATTGATGAGGGTTGGCTGGAGGCGCTGTGTGCTGAGTCACCTGACCTGTCCGACTCACAACGTGCTAAATTGCGCACCCTTTTGCGAGAATTTTCCGACGTCTTTAGTAAGCACAAATATGATATCGGATGTACCAATTTGCTGCGCCACCATATTGACACCGGTGACAATGCTCCTATCCGCCAAAATCCTTTTCGGTTAAGTCCCGCCGAAAAGGATCATGTCAAATGGGCTGTAGATGACATGTTGGCTTCTGACATTATTTCTCCCTCGACCAGCCCTTGGGGTGCACCCATAGTATTGGTTAAAAAGCACGATGGGTCCCTAAGGTTCTGCGTTGATTTCCGGCGGTTAAATAAGATCTCGGTGGCCGATGCTTACCCGCTTCCTCGAATGGACGAATCTCTGGATGCCCTTGCAGGATCACGATTCTTCTCCACCTTGGATTTGCTCTCAGGGTTTTGGCAACTTCCTTTGGACAACGAATCGAAGCCCAAAACGGCTTTCCGAACGCCGCACGGCCTCTTCCAATTCAATCGGTTACCTATGGGGCTCCACTCCGCTCCCGCAACGTTCCAGCGCCTGATGGAATTGGTTCTCGCTGGCTTGCAATGGGAGGTGTGTTTGATTTACCTAGACGACGTTATCGTATTCAGTAAGACGTTCGAGGAACATCTTGATAGGCTTCGGGCCGTCTTTCTCAAAATGCGTGCAGCTAATTTGAAATTCAAACCACAAAAGTGCCATTTGCTACGCGAATCTGTAAGATATTTCGGTCACATCGTCGGCCGGTCAGGTATCTCAACCGATCCCGCCAAAACGCGTTGTGTCAGCTCCTGGCCGACTCCCACCTCGGTGGGGGAGGTTAGAAGCTTAATCGGTTTTGCTTCATATTACCGCCGGTTTGTCGCGGAGTTCGCTTCCATCGCTAAGCCGTTACATGCCTTAACGGCCAAGGGGGTGAGATTTCATTGGGGGCCGGAGGAGGAGGCCACCTTTAACTCTCTTCGTGACGCCCTGGTGGGAGCCCCGCCATTGAGTTACCCCAATTTTTCTCTACCTTTCGAGCTCGACACGGACGCGAGCAACACCGGGATTGGGGGTGTGCTTTCCCAAGTTGTGGGTGGCGTGGAGCGCGTTGTGGCTTATGGTAGTAGAGTATTGTCTCCGGCCGAGCAGTGATACTGCGTCACCTGCCGTGAACTGTTGGCTATTGTTTTCTTTATTCAACAGTACCGGCCATATCTGTACGGCCGGCATTTCACCGTCCGTACAGATCATGCGGTATTGCAGTATGCCCTGCGTATTCACCTGCCATCGGGGCAGTTGTCCCGATGGCTGGAGATCATTCAGGATTTCGATTTCGAAACAACTTATCGCAAGGGGATTCGCCACACCAATGCCGATGTCCTGTCACGTCTGCCGGTCGCTTCTGATTGCACTTGTTTCTTGGGCTCGGGGCGTTGCAAATCGGCGAGCGACGGCCAGGATCGGGTCCTTGCGGCCGCCGTTGAGGCTCCTTCGGACGTTGACCCTATTGCTGTGGGAGGGAAGTATTCCCTACTGGGCTTGTCAGGTGCGGAGTGGGGGCGCCTCCAAATGGAGGATACTTCCCTCCTGGCGCTACGGCGTCGCGCGGAAGGATCCGGTCAGGGGAAGTCGGGCGTTGACTCATGGGGGTTGTGCCAGGGCCTCCTCATGCATTGGGACGGAACGATCCGCCGCCACAGGCTGGTGGTGCCTTCCGCGTTGAGGGGTAGGGCTGTATGGGCCGCTCATGAGCGGCTCCTTCCTGGACCTGGGCACCCTCAAAACCCTTGCCATGCTCCAGCTTAATTTCTTTTGGCCGGGCATGGCAAGGGATGTGGACGATCTGTTGCAGTCTTGTACCCAGTGTGCTCAACGGAAGCCGCCAGCGAGGGGAGCCAGCCCACCGCTCCAGTCTATTTCGGTCACCCGGGTTAATGAGCTTGTCGCCCTTGATATTTTGGGGCCGTTTCCTTCCACGCCGAGGGGTAATAAGTACCTGCTGGTTAGCGTGGAATATTTCACGCGATGGCCTATGGCTTGGCCCCTCGCCAACCAGTCAGCAGCAGCCGTTGCGGAGGCTTTTGTTCAGGGCTATGTCCTCGACAAGGGTGCTCCGGAACAGTTGTTGACCGATCAGGGAAAGAATTTCACTACTGCCCTTTTACACGAGGTGTGTGAGATTCTGGGTACGAAGAAAATTCGTACTTCACCTTACCACCCACAAACGGATGGGATGGTAGAACACCTGCATAGGACTCTTACGTCCATGCTATCCCACCAGGTATCTGAGTCCCAAACCGATTGGGACCTTCAGATCCTGGGAGTCCTGGCAGCATACAGGATGGCTCCTCACGCGGCGACCGGATTCTCGCCGTTTTTTTAATGTATGGCCGCGAAGTTGACCCGCCTGTCGCGACTCAGCTGACAATTGCCGCACCACACGCTAAATCCAAGTTGGCGGACCATGTTAAGTTTAACATCCTCCGGTTGGCTGAGACACGGGAGGCGGCCATGCAAAACTCTGACTCTCGCCAGAAGCAGAATGAAAGGTTGCGATCACGCCCGTCACACACGCACGAATGGCACCCGGGCGACAGAGCGTGGCTGCACTGCCCCCAGGTGCCATTGGCCACCTCGTCTAAGTTGTTGAGACCATGGAGGGGCCCCGTGGAAATTGTGCAGGTTATGCAGCCTCAATGTGTTTGCATTAAATGGGGGAAGCGTCGGTGGTTCGTGCACCCTTCACGGTTGAAGCCGTTCTTTGCTCCACATGCTTCCTCTCATGACTATGGCCGAACATGTGGGGGGTCCACTGACTCCTGGAGGGCGGGGTCGCCGCCTGCCTCTGATCCGCTGCTAACTGTTCCGTCTTCAGGGGCCCAAGCACTGACGCCCTCTCGGCCGCCAGCCTCCCCCGAGGGGGTCGACGCTGGCTCGTCCAAGAAGCCGGAGGGCCGTGCACCTAAAAATGCAACACCTACCGCCGACCCTACCGGGTCGGGCCTTTGTGAAGGGCCCGCTGCACGGACGCGCCAAGACGCGCCGGTTGTTGTGAGTTGCTTTCCGCGCGTGTTCCGCTGCTGGAGGGCTCGCTCACCTTTTTTAAATTTTTTTTTGTGGGTGGGGATGGGGAACCACGTTCTGTACATGTTGCATTTGGGGGCGGTGGGTATTTATAGGGGACCGTCGGTTGTTGTTACACTTGTTCTTGTTATTGTTACGAGGCACACGCGTGTTGACTGTGTTAAGTCTTTATTCTTGGGTTTTGAGGGATTGTTGCAGCCGGGACGGCTGCGAGTTGTACAGGGCAGGGGTGATGTAGGGGTTATTACGGGAGAAAATGCGGACGGGAAACACAGGGGTGTCTGCACCCACACACACGGGTGTCTACACCAACGTCCGCATCCGTTAACCACTGGGGGGCCATGGGGGCTCTGTGATCCCCCATAACCCCGCCCCTCTGAGGGGATCCCTATAAAAGGCGGGGAGCCAGAGAGCTCGGGGCCAGTTTAACAAGAAGCTGACCAGTGAAGTCTGAAGACCGGCAGACTAGGCCCTGGGACTCCCGTTTCGCTGCCCTTGTCAGGGCCGAGCTGGGTAAGCCAGCGGCGCGGCCCAAGAGCTTCCGGACCTCTGCTCTTGTAAGGGCAAGGCCGGCTTAGCTGGGTACCGGGATCTGTGCTTACCAGGGCCAGATCAGACAGCCTCCCGTAGCCTATTAGAGGACTGGGAACAGGACAGGGGACTTAGTACTAGGGGTGGTTTCCCAGCTAGTACGGGTGAAGGGGCCGTTACCCCTTCAACTATTGTGTCTGTCCCCGAGTTAATAAAAAGAGTGTGCCTCAACTCCGTCGTCGTCTCCCTGCAACTCACTACATGTAAAACAAATATAATTTCACGTATATATTTACGTATAAACTGTTCTAATAACCAAAGTAAGGCCCTCTTAAAAAAATGTAAGTCAGTTAGGATTGGTGAAGTGAGTTTTGTATTTATTGTTTGTATTTAATTAATGTTAATGACACGCCAAAATTGTATTCACTCGTCCTTTTATTTGGGAAAAAACAAATCACAACGTATACACAGTATATTTAACAATGTATATGTCGGAACGCAAAATATGAATTCAAACCATACTACACATGCAAAAGAATCAAGATAAACTCAAGGCTATTTAGCATGTTCTCTAAGTGTAAGTATTGTGAATTGTGCAACCTGTAACTTGGTAATTGTAAAAACAGCTTTTTTTTTGCAGATTAAAATGTTTAATGTCATACACAAGTATCTGGGGTAGGATGCACACAGATTGCTGTGTACATAGCTATATATACTTTTATACAAACAGTACATGGATATAACATTACCGTAGTGTGGTTGTGACCGTATCTGTGTTAAATGGAAGACGAGAGAGATGAGGTGTTACAAAATTAGAAATATCCAAAATGGGAAAGAATGAAACGATGATCATCAAAGAACGAGATTTAACAGGCTCCACATGTATGACAGGTCACGTCTAAGCCACCTTTTAATCGCATGGCTCTGCACTACATTATATTACACAGCAGAGCATGCTCGGCCAACAGATGCTTGTATGGTTATGCTGACGTTTGTTTCAGTGCGACAAAGTTTGCATGGGATGAAGAAAAAAATCGGCATTAACTTTAACAATGTGCGTAAGTCAAAAGATGTAATATTCAACATTATGGAACTAGTCGAGGAAGCAAGCGCCTCATTAATAAAAAGTATCGCATACCTTAGGAATACGCATTATATTTGTTGCAAGCTTTGAACTGCATTTCCAAGCATGAAAGTATTTCATCTTCAGTATGTTAAATAGTTGACAACTGTACTAATGCATCCCACATAAGCACGCGTCAGAATGGATACGAGCACGCCAGTAAACCTCAGAATTTTATAGTTTGCTATACAAATTACTGTTCTTTTGCTGGATATTTTTCACACCTATATAGCCAAATATACAAGTCCAAATAAACAAAAAATTATGCCAAAATATATACAATGCGTGTATTCGTCAAGGCATGGGGAGCAGATTGCAACTCACCTAATGCGAGATTATTGAGTAGTACGTCCAAGGCCTTAAACCAAGTAACTGAAGGGTTGTCAGATCACGCCAGTCTTCTCTAAGTTGGTCAAGATTCCCGTACCGAATTAGTGTTCCAAAGAAGCAATGTGTTTATATCCACAACAGTTTCCTTTTTCAAACCAGTGTCGCTCTTTGGCATCATCAAAGACTCGCATCCCTGCATCGAGATCTTGCTTTCGCGAGCCTTCCAGGGGATCGATCATATGGAACTGCGAGTGATTTGCTCGATGTAAAAAAAAAACATTGAAGGAAATCAAATAGAAGCATTTCACCATCAGACTTGATATAAACACACTAATGGTGTAATGGGTTTCTACTTAGTGGTAATGTACTTTAAATAGAAAAACCAAGACAACGATTCATAAGCAAATTCTATTTCTACAACAAAAAACTCCACATTCGGTATAGGTGTGTAAGGAAAGTGGGCCAGTTAACATTCAGGGCTTATACTGCACATACATCAGGCATGCAACGATGTTGATTTATAGTTGAAAAGATCATTATGCTCAGGATACATGCATCGAATCGCACCGTTGTAAGAGCAGAATATTTACAATTTACACAAATCATCTAATTATATGCCAATTACAAGGTACTTTAATATTAAAGGCTCTGAACCGACGTTGTCCAACACAGCAAAGCCGCCGCTGGCCAATGGAGGGAATGGGACCGTACGAACATAACGGAATGAAGACGTCACTCGTCGGATTGCTGGACAAAAGTCACATTTCAATTTGACACCGGAGGAGCTGGGTGGTGAATCGTTCTGTGCCGATTCAACACTGCAGACACACGAAAGTACCGTTTGAAATAAAATCCTAAACTTTACATTTTTCACGACAAGTCGTCTTCTCACGAGGAACACTTTTTGCAACATCGATTTTTTTTCACTCGTCAAATTTCAATAAACAAAGTAATGTGGTACCTCAAAAGTAAATCTGGGCGAATGAAATATATTACTTTCAAATTTCAATTTTACGTCCAACTACGCTATTTATTTTGATCGAAAAATTATGTATAACCAGTTAAGAGCCCATTGAGAGTTCAGAAAATATATTTAACAGAAAATTGGGATTCAACAAGTACAGCAATCTAAACACAAGAAAGTGTTCCAACAAGACAAACTATTCTTTAAGGCAAACATTACAGTGATCACTGCACACACAAAGACAAAGATCCCCCACTCCCACCGTGTAGCCTTAACAGACTGTTTGGGAATGTGCTGTTAGCAAGCACCTATTAAGGCCGACAGCACACGAGGGGGTGGGTGGCCAGCACCATGCCCGGCTGCCTTTGTCTCCCCAGTGGCGACGTTTACACACCGCACCCAGGTACTCATTTGAGGCTGAGTCGACCGAGGGGAGGGCCCGGGACCGGTTCAGATAATCGCTATCACTGGTGTTTGCCGTGAGCGGGAATTGAACTCAGGTATCCGAGTTTGCAGCGCATGTGTAGCGCTAACCATTGCACGATCGCTCCCCCACTGCACACACACACAAATTACATGGCATATTCTGCACAATTTACAAGCGGTTACGATTGTCCCGATTTTTTGTTAGTAGAGCACTTTTCATTCACTTGAAACTATTTATATATATTATGCTACACTTCATTAAATATATTAATACATTATATTAATACATTTATTAATTATATGATTTACCCTACACTTTGCCATGTCCAAAATTCTTTCAGAATTGAAATTGTATCATCAAATATAAATGTTTGTTAGAAATTCAATTTGATGTTTCATGGTTTTAACAAAATGCAGGAAGCTCCGAGTGAATCCTAAAATGCAGCCTTGGTGGTGGTCATCACAAACTCATTGTGGAGGAGTCCAAGGGATTATTTTGCAATGTGAAGTCACGTGATTGCAATATTTAGTACAGTGAATCAGGTGAAAAACCGTGGGCTCGTGTTTACGTTCCATAGCCCTTGCTTAATATGGTCCCAAAAAAGAGCCAAGCATTCCCACAGCGATGATACATATTATTATTTGTCAAACATGTACCCATAGTTGCCTTACCAAGCCTTAGGATATTAGAGGTTCTGGTGACTGGAGAAATTTGGCCAATTTTTTATTGAAAATGTTTGAGTGGAAGGAAACATGAGTAGCTAGAGACATCTCACACACCCAAGGGGATGACAACTCACAAAACTGCCCAACTGCCAACTGGCTATCATTTATATCTGAATGGTCTTGTGCAATGTTATTTGCATCACATCTATATACTGAGCCCAATTTCTGAACAGTTTGCTCATGACTTTTGTGGAAATTCTGGTATATTTAGGGAAAAACGTTATTCTGTAGATATACCAATTTGTTTTAAGGTACTGATGTGGCTGCATTCTGTACTAAACACACCAGCCAATCATCAGCTAGCGGATGGTAACAACGGCATTCTGGCCTGGGCATCATGATGTAATGACGCAAGCCCTGCCCACGAACAGAGCCAACCAATCGGGCTCTGGTTCATCTGGGTATGCGCCCTTATGCAAATGAACGCCAGTGTTTCCACCAACCCCATAAGAAGGGAGCCCTGCGTAACGCGAGTGAGCGCACACCACCCCAGTGCAGGGTAGAGGAGCGCCTTGCTGTGGGTGAGAGTGTGTTGTGTGATTTGTTTCACGTGGTTACGTGGTCATGCAAAAACATGACAGGAAACGTTGTAACATCCCATCTCTGCATGTGGAAATATTGATTTGCAAAAAGAGTGCTAAAAGATGCACCGAATTATACAGCCTACAGAAGCGTGTGAATGTATATAAGCAAAGGACTGCTTTCAAATATCACTTAATTGTGTCTATTTTATCTGTTACATGACTAGATTTGTTTAAGCTCTATAATTGCATGACACCTTTAGTTATGAGCGAAAATGCTTACCATTTACCGTGAACATTTTAAAGAATTCACTGTTATTAAACAAACACCAAATCATACGATACAAAACTTATTTTTAGTGACAGATTAAAATGTTTATTTTGACGTTACATTTTGCCTGTGGAAAACTCAGCATGGTGGGGGCCTAAGATATTACTGTGATGCATAAAATGGCACAAGAGCTTTAGTGAGGCAAGTGAAATTTAGCATTTTTACATTTGCATATTGACAAAGAAAAACAACATTGTGTGGGCAAATTTAGATGCATCGACAACAGAGCTAGGTCACGGCACCGGTTAGTACTGAAGTGACGTTGAGTGGACTGAGTAGACACCGAAGGACTCAAGGCAGATCCACAGCCCTCGCAAACACCAAGGGCGGCAGACAAACGCACCCCGTCAGCAAGACGCCTTCTTGAAAATCTGCACGGCAGAGCCCCGTTGGTAATTCCTAACGCGACGGCGCACCAGCTGTTAATGATGCACGTCGAGCGTGAAAAATGTCCGTTTGACTGCTGCTCAGAGGCCAGTGGCATTATCTTATGTTCGAAACCAATCTAGAATAAAAGTAATTGCAAGGGGATATTTTATACATATCACCGTTACATATCAACGTGTTTGCAGTTGTGGCGGGAAAGTGCTATTTACCAAAAGACTGAATGGTGAACATGCCTAATCAAAATAAGCCATTGACCCTGTTGCCCCAAAATGTATCAAATTTTTTAACATAGGACTCACGTAAGCTTTACCAGTCACAGCTATGTGACCGATTGGTGGAAAGACTCGAAAACGAGATGTACACCCCCTCCAGTATCCCGATTATTATTCTCAAGAGGCACTGCTGTAGCTTCTACCTTCTAGCTACAGCATTTGCCATTGACTTCCGATGGCATCAGTGCATTTGCGTGACTCCCTCTCCGTGTGGTGTGCGGTGTGGAGCAGGGGGGGGGTGGTTATACAACACGGATGGGCTTCATCTCTTCTTAGGTGGTGCGGGCGCAGTGCGGGGCGGAGTCACGGGCCGGCCCGAGTTTAGTCCTCCGTACTGGTACTTTGGCTTCTTTTCAGCCGGCTTCAAGATCTGGTCGAAAATAAGCAAACGTTGTTGAACAATACGCCATTTAGTTAAAGACAAACAAACATGCTCCGATGATAATAATACACGCATTGTCTTTGAAACTGATTGGCCTACGCCAGAGACAGCCTTGTTTATTGCCTTGTCTCACCACTAGTGTGAGACCAGAGAACGCCAAAAGGCAAGTATCAGAGCAGTTATATATATGGGACCTTTTACCAGTATCAAAAATGATTAAAAATAAGAATAGGTTTTATCCTTTCTGGCATTAAGATATTCAAACACCAAATAGATACGTTATTCAATGGATCAATTATGCATTAACCACACATACTTGTGGCAAAATATGCAAACAAATATCTCCTTATAATATATGCATTGCCTTGTCTCAACCAGAGACATCCATCTCTATGGCATAGTCTCACCAGTGCTCAACCAGAGAATCCCAAAAGGCGAACAATAGAGACAATGCAAGTATCAGCACTGGCGGAGCCAGTGGAAGGGGGGGGGGGGGTGGCATGTGCCCCCCCAATGATCTGATTGAAATCTCTAATTTCGATCACATCATCGGATTATTAGTAACCACTGTGTAGCATATTATTACGTGCCAGAGACTCTATGAGATGAAAGGACAATAGTCTGAGTCCATAATTGGCAATAAGTAACGGCAAAGCAGTTATAAGTGACTCACATAATTGTGCGCAGTTGCGTCTACAGTACACGACTTCCCTGAAGGCAAACACCTTCAGCGAGCGCGATGCCGATCACACAACGCGGTTCAAATTCGACCCTCGATCGATGGCTGCGCCATTGCCGCACACGCGTCGAATAAAAAGCAAGGGACAAGTCCTTACTTACTAACAACTCCGATCATTTTTCATTGCTGGAGGGGTTGCCCCCCCTACCTGAATATCCTGGCTCCGTCATTGAGTATCAGAGCAATTATAGCTCGGGTCGAGCAGTTATATCTATGGTTAATGCAGACTTGATGCCTTGCAAAAAGGTATCTATTTGCGTTTGAACATTGTAAACATCAGCTTTATTGCTAGAAAGGGTTAACCTATTCTTATTTTTCGTAATTTTTGATAATGGCAAAAAAAAATTCCCATAGTTCAAGACAACTTAACACTTTCACAAATGCTTCAAAGAAATGGCGTGGCTCGCACCTAGAAATATTTTTTTTTATCAGAGTGTAGTGACGTATATTGAGTCACTACGCCGTTAGCGCCAGCTACTGAGAGTTGAGTGGAACTGTGTGTATCACAGCCTCCCTCTGGTACCTGAGAATGTGACAGGCTATGGAAACCCGAGAGGGCACGTGATGAGGAAAGGATAACGAGGGGGGGCCGACAGGTGACGAGAAGGACAGGTGGTGGAAGGCCCCAGAACCTTCAGGGCAGATCCCGAAGGGGACGTGGCCGAGGGCGGAGCGAGGCCACGCTCAGGGGATAAAAAGGGGGTCCCGAGAGCTGAGCGGGGCTGTCTCTTGGAATCATCCCGTCGGGCTACGTCTCTTCCATCTTCGGTCTTCGGTCGTCACGTTCGGCATCGTGGGTCAGGCAGTACTTACTGCCTGGCCCGGTTATGTAGTTACCCTGTTGGGGTCTAATTGAGTAGTTACCCTGTTGGGGTCTAGTTACGTGTTTGTTACGTTAAGTAGTAGCCCTGTTGGGGCCGTGTAATAAACGTGTTGCCTCCCAGATAAAAGTGTGTCTCTCCGTGGAACCCACCACAAAAGTGCCGAGGCTGTAGGCATGTAGAATTAATTTTCAGACGGGCCACCCATGCAAAGATATTATAAATCGTTGCCTTTTTACGTGGTATTCGATATTAAAGTCATACATAAAATTTGATGTCTGGATAACTTAGCCACATGCAAAACTGCCAATATATATTTGATGTATTTCATGGGTGCAGCCTGCACAACCCCTAGGAATGGTGGCCCAACAATGAAGTGGCGGCCAAGGCAGGGGAAGGCGCCTGCGAGGACATGGGTGAATTGTTACATCACCGGACCATGGGGGATAGGCAGTGGCTTCCCTCTACCAATGGATTGATCATGGTGATCAGGCAACTTGGCAACATATATTTGAAGTATGGAAAGTGAGCAGATTAAAGAATCGCATTTTTTGTGGTTCTTAATTTTTTGCCAAAGATTGGATGATTTGCATAATGCAACACAATTAACATAGTACCAGCTATATAAACAGTCACATTAAATATAGTACGGAAGATTGTGTCGCACAACAGAATAGCATACAAATGTGACTCTACACTTGTGGAACTGCTCTCGAGAACGTAGGAGTATTGCAAATCAAATCTAAACAATTCTTAACCACTACCTAAATACAGGACACTCTCGATTATCCGCGCTAATGATGGGAAGGATGGCCACGGATAATAGAAAAATATCCATTTGCCACGGATCTCTGACAAAAAATAACTTTCGACCGATCGATGCACTTGCTCAATGATAACACTTTCCTGCTCCTGCGCAGAAGGCTCAGTCCACTAAGTGGATGATAGCAGAGCCCCACCAATCAGCATCAATCAAACTCTTGCCACTGTTGTAAAAATATGCAACTACTGTGCTGTAGCGGCGATCATGTTGATTTCAGATTAACCGGAGCACATATTTGTTCGGTTTAAGCACGTGACTTGTAATAAACATATCCAAGAGTAACAATGTATAACTGTTTTTAGATTATTTATTTGGGCTTAAGGGAAAATCCATGAGTTATTAATTCATGTCAAAATCTCAGGTGCGTGGTTAATATCCAAATCGATAACCCACCCGCAGATAATCGACGGTGCCTGTAAAAACTACTGTTTTTAAATATTTGTGACATTTGATTGCTTACATTAGGGAAAAACAAATGTTTCATTGAACTGTAGACAGACCTGACATTTCATGGTTCCTAGCAAAAATAACAATCTGAGGCAATGGTCGGTCCCCATCATTTTACTAAGCTGCCGATGGCAGACGATGATGATAATGATGAAGAAGAATGTTTCCAATTGGTACGAGCTGACGTCCCATAGGATACGATGTGACTGGTGTCTCCCTCCCAATAACACCACACTGCGATGTCATCGGGAGGCTGATGCATGACCTCGCATCGCGAAATTACATGACGCACTTTGGGTGTATGCCATGCACCGTCATTGTACTGGGTCATGAGGCCTATTTAAATAATGCAGAATTTTTTTTGACCTAGTTTTAGCCAACCCCTTTGATATATTTTGCCCAATTGTCAACTGGGTTAGTCCCTAACAGCGGCACGACTTTATAGTAGAGTTTTGTTCACATTGGAGGATCGTAAGGGCTCTTACGCAGTATGCAGCAAGGGTTCCGCAGCATGGGCTGTCGTGGCTGGAAGTTTATAATGTCACTTGCACTCCTCTCAACTACAGGAATAAGCCAAATATATTTGTACATACAGTAGATCATCGATTATCCGGTGGTTTCGGGGTGGGAGAGGGTGCCGGATTTTAAAAAATGCCAGATAATTACTCATTATAATAATTATTATTTAAAATTATTTGTGCACATTGCTGTGTGACATTATGTTTGTAGGTGTTACTTTTTTGTCTTTTAAATGTTTACTATAGACTGTATTTACTGTACCGTACTTACCACTCCAATCTCGGAGACTCTGCATCATGGGTTGATGTATACCCGTGCAGTATTTTTGTTTAAGTTGTATGTAGTGTATAATGTACTCTTTATATTTTACACCAAAATCAAGCGTAGCTACTTTGTTTGTCACGTGCACCATGCCGATCGCCGGATTGGGTTGCAGCCTTTGGAGCGGTTTTGCCAATTTCACCTGATCGGCCCCGGGACCACCAGATAATGTTGGAAGCAGCCAGATAATCAACAATCAACTGCATTTAAAATGAGGACTTGGTGCACCAACTGCATCCTTAAACATTCATGCGAACGGGAATACGCCACAGCAACGCAGCGAGGCGCACCTGGAAGGAGCACATGAGCGTCTCGTCAACGCTCATCATGGCCCCCGCGTTGTCAAACTCTCCGCAGTAGTTGGGGGCGGAGAAGAGCGTGACCAGCTGGCGCTTGGCAAAGAACTCGTAGCCATCTTCGACAACCTGCAGGCCATTGGGGGGGCGAGGGGATTGGTGAGGGAGAGTGTGAGAGGGTGAGGGGGTAACGCACACCGCCAGTCACGAGTGACCACCGTGGCGGCAGACCGGCTGTCATCCATAGGGACTTCACCAAAACAATTCTGTATACTGAGCATGTTACAAATAGCATTTTGGTTATATTGATAAAAGAGGCCTTTCATCGATTATGTTAAAGTGAATCATACGAATCCTTACGTGAGCCACGAATAACCAATTGGGCTAAACAAATAAAAATCATGACCTTCCAAGAAATAACCTTGAGACTCAATGGTGTGTTCCAACGCTATACTTTGTGAAAGGCAGCTCAATGGTTCGTTCCCACCTAGAAGGCGAGGCATCGAAAAAAAACGTACGTACATGCATACTGCAATGTGCCCTCCACTCACGAGGTCCAGTCAGTGTTTCCCAGTACCAGAATTATCACGCAAACTATCAACTATCCCTCAATCCTCATCTACCACCCTCCTGACGGCAGCATCATCAGCTTCTTCAATGAGCTTCCTTTCCAAACTTACTTTATTCTTCTCCCCTGATGTGACCTACCGCTTGGTGCTTGCAGGATATTTAAACCGTGCAAGCCCGGCTTCAACCACCATCGACGGTCGTCATGAGGAAACTTTGGCTCTTACCACAACTTGTAAATTTTCCAACCGCTGGCCCAATCTGAGTATCTTTCTTTATTGATCCGGACTTCAGCCGGTGCGAATCTCCGATCGAGTATATCCTTGTCGGCTATTCTAATCACTTCTCTACACTTGGCCAGGCCTCCCATTATCAAAACTACTGACAACTCACACAACAACCTTAGGAGGCATCGAATTTCCCAAATTCTTCAGCATCTATTCACCAACTGCCTCTTCATGTTTTCCCCCTTCTCCCAACCTGGATGTTTGTGCCCATAAGCTCGAAGGTGATCTCAGAATAGCATTGGACAAAATTGGCACCTCTCAAACTTCGAGCCACACGCGCGCATCATCACACAATTCCAACCGGCTCTCCACTGATGCCATCCGTGCCAAGCAAATCAGGAGGCATTGGGGAATGGACTGACTGTAATCGCACAGTAGGCTCACCACCAACTGGACCCAATACAGAGCATCCTGCAAGAGAGCAAACGCGCCGATTATTTGCATCGCGCACCTCCACAGGAAGAAAGCCCTCGTGACCATTGGAAAAGCCATAAAAAAAACCTCCTCCATCCCAAGCATCAGGCTGGCCCTCCAGTCAAAATGACCCACAAACGTCAGTGAAGCTCGCAACCTCCTTCAGCAAAAGCACTTTCATCAAAAAACTTTCCACCATCACCAAATTTGCATCTCTCAAACTTCGCCCATACTCCTCTCCTAGCCGGCCCTCTCCGATTAACACGGTTGGTTATGTACGGTGCAAACGATGTTCAACATATGTACATACATACATACAGCCCCCATCCCTCGACTCCATAGACTACGTTCCTGTCCTCCTCGCCTGTGCTACTGAAGGATGTCTCCACCATAATCCACGCACTTCACATGAAGTTGTCTCCTCCGGGCATCAGCCCCGGTTCTCTGTTCAAAAAGTGTGCCACAGAACTCCCAACAATTATGACCATCTAACACTGGCAAAGAATTTGCGTAGGATATAACGTAAGTGAATTGCAAGCTATAGGGATTTCGTGTTATTACTTTCTAATGGACACTTGCTGGCTTACTTTCCCTGAACATCAAAAACAATATGATGTAACAATGTTAACATTATTAACACCAATAATACAAAATATCATCACCAACAACAATTTGACACATCAACAGCAATAGCCAAATATCAACATCAATTAACAATGAGATTGTTTTTCATATTAACATCAACCATATTAATTTGAATATCATCAACACCATGTGTATGAATATTAGCAATGCCTGGAGAACTAATTTACAACCACAACCAAAGCCAGAATATAACCACAAAAACAATTACAACCAGAACCACAACCACATTATAACCGCAAATAAAACAACATAACCCAAACATCCTCAGCCCCCTGCAGTTGACGGCCTAAACATCTCTTGTTGGTCACCTTATCAAGAACCTTGGCATCAAATACCATACCTACGCAGATCACTCTCTTCCGTTCACATGTCCATTCTACCAACGCTTCTGGAGTCAAGAGCAGAAGTGGTTCTGGGTACACAATCTCTCCTTGAATGCTTGCAAATCCAAACCGTGATCGGTGCCAAACAGCGCCTCACTGTGTCGACGCCTACTGGCACATTAATCACGGTCTCCCGCTATCCATTTCTCCCACCACATCAACTTCCTTAGCGCCATTCTTGGCTCCACCTCATCCTTTTGACAACTAAACCAACCGAATCATCACATCTTCCATCTACCACTTCAGGGCCCTCTGTCATGTATACGTCCACTCATCACCTCTAAAATTGCCGATACCCTCGCCTGCAGAATAGTCGGGTCTCACCTCGACTATCCCGTCCCTCCGATTTAGCACGTTTGGCTACGTACAGTGCGAAAGAAGTTCAACATCCACAAATCTATACATTACAACTCCGTCCTTATTCAATCTCCATCGAGCAACCTCAAGCAACTCCAATGGATGTAAAACAATCTCGCCCCCGCGTTGTCCTCTGCACCTGTCATCCTTCACCTCCCTCCACTCCGCCCCACTGGCTTCCCCACCATCACCAGAAGCAGGGTCAGCTATAAGATGTCCTGCTGCCTGTGCCACCTGGCCTCTACTTTTGGTCATCATCCACCACCGTACCTCCCTTCGCAACTGGCCACCCTGCACAACAGCTCACGGCAGGACCCTCTGCAGCGGCGCAACTCACAACCTCCTCTCTCCACCGAGGACGAGAACCGTCACATTGCCAGGCGTCGTTATTCAGTGGCGGCCCACCTGCCATCCAGAATGCCATCCTGCTGCACATTGGCAGCATACAATCTACACAGACTTTTAATGTATGTATGTACAGTAGATTATATTATCGATTATGTTCCGGCTTCGGGGGGGGGGATTGTCAAAAACGCCAGATAATTATCATTACATCACGATTTAAAATAGCTTATTTGTGCATATTGTTGGGTGACGTTATGTTTGCAGGTGTTCTTGCATTTTTTTTGTGTTTTTAATTTGTTTACTATAGGAAATTTCCGTAAATAAACATACACATAGGCAAAAATAAATATGCTACTTTAAAAAGTTACTGTATTTACTGTACCATACTTAGAACTCCAATCTCAAAGACTCTGCATGGGGTGATGAGTACACGTGCAGAGTTTTCATTGTTTTAAGTTGTATGTAGTGTATAATGTACTGTATATAATATTTAACACTGAAATCAAGCGTAGCTACTTTTATTGTCATGCACACAGTGCCGATAGCTGAACTGGTTACAGCCTTTGGAGTGGTTTTTCCGGTGTTGACGGATCGGCAGGGACCGCCGGATGATCAACTGCATGTTGAACTTCTTTTACACCGTACATGGCCAACCGTGCTCATCGGAGGTGGGGGGAAGGACAACAAACTAAAATCTCCACCTCTATTGCCTGGCATTCAAGTGACACGGAGCTTGGCTCTGTGTCTCAAGAGTTATTGTAATGCGAGCAAGGATTGAGGGGGGGCGGAGTCTGGGTCACGTGGGAGAGAGGATTTAAGGGGAGAACCGGAAGGGGAAAGGGGAGTTGAGACGGAGTGAAACAGGAGGAGGCCACGCTGGGCAGGACGGAGAGAGTGGCGCAGTCGCCACGCGATGGAAGACGTAGACACCGTCAGCCATCGGTGTCAGACGCAGAGAGCTAGCGGCTGTGGGAGGCTAACTGTGTACGGGGCAGCAGTGAAGCTAGAGAGCGGAGCAGCGGTATGGCTGCAAGGTGGAGCAGCAGGGAGACTGCCTAATGGAGAAGCAGGGAGACTGCATATCGGAGCAGCAGGGAGACTGCATATCGGAGCAGCCGAGTGGCTGTGGAGAGATTGTCGGGAGGGACGCGGGCCTGAGCGAGGATGCCGTGGTAACGAGATTCTACGAACCCAATAAAGGACAACGGAGATCGACATCTGAGAGAGAGTCCTTTATTACATTATGATCAATTATGTCTGTGAAATACTGTGCATGTTACACATTGCACCATGATTATATTTGTAATAAAGGACTTCTTCACACACAATGTCGCTCTCCGTTGGTCCTTTATTTAGATTCTTCTCCTCCGCACACCACTGGCCTCCTCCTCGGACCAGCGTCTCCTCTCACGTGCCACGCACGCCCTGCTAGCCCCTCCGCTAGCCCCGTGCACTCCGCACGCTCCGCTAGCCACTCCGCTAGCCCCGTGTGTCCCGCACACTCCGCTAGCCACTCTGCTAGCCCGTGCACCCCGCACGCTCCGCTAGCCACCCCGCGCCTCACACCCTGGCCGACGGTGTGCCAAGCCCCCATCAGCCACGTGGTTGATTGCGCGGCGGCCACCCAACGTGGTCCCGCCTCTTCACTCCATCGACTGGCCCTGATCTCTTCCGGGCTCCCTCCTATAACCTCTCTCCCACGTGACCCTGACTCCTCCCTCTCGGATCGTCACATCCGGCCTTCCCATTTACGCTCGCATTACATATTTATAAAAAAAAGGGCCTATGATTAAGAGATGCCTGTTAAAGTTAATTACGTACGAAACCTTACTTTAGCCAGAAATAACGAACTGGGCTAAACAAATAAAAATCATGGTCTTCCAAGAAATACCCTTGAGACTCAATGGTGGGTTTCAACGCTATACTTTGTGAAAGGCAGCTCGGTGGCTCATCCCCATCTAGAAGGCTAGCCATCGAACAAAGATGGTCATGACATCGAACGCTTTCAGATGCGCTTCTGCGCCCATCTGGGACACTTCCTTCCAATATTGGGAAACCACTGGGAGATATGCACTTTTAAATCATCTAACTAGTTTTTTGTGTTTAGTTTGTTGTCCTTCCCTGGCACCTCCGATTAGCACGGTTGGCTACATACGGTTCGAAGTTATAACATACATACGTAGAGGCCACGTGTGGCACAGCAGTGAAGGGGGCGAAAAGGAGGAGGAGCATTGAAGGGGGGTGGACCGGTGTGAGTGTGTGGTGTGGAGGTCGGGCGGGCGGGCAGATAAACAGGCAGCCGGCCGTGGGGACTCCTTCACCTGGTGCGCACGGCAGATGAGGTCCAGGTCGTGGCGGTTGAGGAACTTGCTGACGACGTCGGCGCCGAAGGTGAAGGAAACTCCACGGTCGTTCTCTCCCCAGCCCTGCACGTCCTTGTCCGGGTCCGACCACAGCAGGTCGCATAGCAGCCCTTGCAACGTACACACACACAGGCGTGCACACCACGTTCTCTTACAGCTGGAGGCATCAAGACGGGAGTAAATATCCACCAAGGTGTGATGTCAGAAGAACATTTCCCTGCTGCATGCTTCTGATTTTTTTAGTTTTTCAACCAAATCATTCCTGCTTACTACTGTGTTTTTGAACACTTTCCAAACTGACACTGAAAGTGCTAATGCAATAGCTCTGTCCCATCTGCGATGGGGGCGGTGGGGGAGGTTATAATAATTATTGTTAAGATGATCGAATATTTCGATTTAAAGCTTTCGTGACTGCAGGGATTCATCTTCTTGGTTCTTTCGGTAAAGTCACGTAGAAGGGAAGTAATAAAATAATAAAAATAAAACATAATAAAACAATTCTCACGACGTTTCGGCCACAACGCAAGCAGCCGTCCTCAGGTGAAAACCAGGTCCGTCGAGGCGACAGAGTCTGAATGAAACAGCACACGAGCTTGGAGCATATATATAAGCTGGGCGCATTGACAAAGGAATTTGCATATCAAAAGGAATTTAGCATATTTATGGGAAATGCAGGAATGTGATTAGTACTGCATATGCATGTGCATTATGCAGGATTAACAGCATCAAAGGGAGCTGCAGTTACTGCTGCTGCAGCAGTTGCTGCTGCTGCTGCAGTTTCTGCTGCTGCTGCAGTTGCTGCTGCTGCTGCAGTTGCTGCTGCTGCTGCACTTGCTGCTGCTGCTGCAGTTGCTGCCTTATCCATTTTAATATAACACTATGTATTATTCTACCCACCCTAATGTGTATCATACTGCTATATGTTTACTGTACAATTACGACAGAGTAATGTATGGTGTCGTAATTGTACAGTAAACATATAGCAGTATGATACACATTAGGGTGGGTAGAATAATACATAGTGTTATATTAAAATGGATAAGGCAGCAACTGCAGCAGCAGCAGCAAGTGCAGCAGCAGCAGCAAGTGCAGCAGCAGCAGCAACTGCAGCAGCAGCAGCAACTGCAGCAGCAGCAGAAACTGCAGCAGCAGCAGCAACTGCTGCAGCAGCAGTAACTGCAGCTCCCTTTGATGCTGTTAATCCTGCATAATGCACATGCATATGCAGTACTAATCACATTCCTGCATTTCCCATAAATATGCTAAATTCCTTTTGATATGCAAATTCCTTTGTCAATGCGCCCAGCTTATATATATGCTCCAAGCTCGTGTGCTGTTTCATTCAGACTCTGTCGCCTCGACGGACCTGGTTTTCACCTGAGGACGGCTGCTTGCGTTGTGGCCGAAACGTCGTGAGAATTGTTTTATTATGTTTTATTTTTATTATTTTATTACTTCCCTTCTACGTGACTTTACCGAAAGAACCAAGAAGATGATCGAATATGTAAATAAGGGTTCATTGTAATGCTGTGCTACTATTAGCTTCTTGACAAATGGGCAAATTTATCAAAGGGTTAGGACCAAATCCAGCAAAAATAAATCAACAGTAATATGAAGACCGTTGTTGTAATGTGACGTGATGTCACATACAATGCATGCATATTGAACTTCTTTCGCAACCTTACGGAGCCAACCGTGCTAATCGGAGGTGCGGGGGGGAAGGACAACAACGATGGAAGTCCGTGTCACGTCTAGGTGGCGCGGTGATGCGGTGTCCTCAGCGTTGCACGCGAAGTAACCCTCTCCCCCTGGCCCTGCGTGGTGGCTCCGAGCGCGATTGTTTTGCGAGGCCAGCATTTCACGGATTTTGGTTGGATCTCGTCGCGGTAGTCTGGTCGGAAAACCACCCGAACCATGAGGGCCACCACACTGGCTCGCCTCGAACGCGGCACTGAGACGTGGGTGGGTATTAGGTGACCCGGGTGAGAAGCTTACCTGTGTCGGGGACGTCCGTGGGTCTCATTATCCTCCGGATCTGCTCCATGGACTGCAGGTCGGGTGAGAGACCTGCAGAGACAAATGTCTTTGAACTGAAACCCATTCATTTACGTAACTCAAATACAACAAACAATTGGATTCCAATGCCAAAAGCGTTTTACATATTGGGTTATATCTTCTTTAGGAAGCAAACTCACTGAGAAGTTTCAGATTACAAATATTGTGGTAAAGATATAGCAGTCCCTCGGTTAACAGTGACATCCGTTAACGGTTATTCGGTTGACATTTCGCCTCCCGTAGGACCCCCCATGGTTTTGACTAACGTTAACATTGTTGATTCATGGTACGTTCATTTTATGCATGCTGGGCGCCAATTTTGGCCAATCCGAGTGCTCATAAGGGGAGCCTGAGCCATGACCTCAGCCAATCAGCGATGCCGGTTTATTAACGTTGAGACCTCGACTGCCTTTGTTTACATTCTGTTTTCGCAGAAATTCAATTCCTATATTATATTAACATTTAAATCAGTGAACAGTAGTTTTCGTGTCATGGATTAGAAACTTTAACTGAGGGACTATTGTGTCACATGGCACCAAGTGGCAAGGCAAAATACAATGGAGGGTGGGGTCCACCTGTATTAGGGAAAGTGGGTGATTGAAAATTAGAGACACCTGCAGCAAACAAGGCTTCAATCACAATTCGTGTGGCCAGCTTCCTATACATAGGGACCTCCCACCCTCACCAGGGTATAGCGGAGGGTGAATGGAGGAAGACCCCAGCCAATTATGCTCTCGAGCTCCAGCCAGTAGAGAACAGGAGCAGTCCCAGAAAACATACAAGCGTCAAGCTTGGACACCCGGTGGGGAGCAGGGACGCGCAGAGGAACGCAGGGAGGCAGACTCTGATGCTCCCCTTTTGTGGAGAGGAGCCAGCAGGCGCCGGCTCTCTTCCTCCTCGGACGACGGTGGCGGGACGACGGTGGCCCACGGCAAGTGACGTCGAGCATCACTTCGAAGTTTCTTATGAATGTAGCCCAAATTGGGTGATAAACGCCATTTAAAGCTAAACGTGCCTTAAGGGTGTGTGTGTGTTCAGGAACGCGTATTCTCAAGTGTGAGTGTCGGGACATAGTGGTTGTCCTGTGGTATACTGTCAGCGCACCGTGTTGTCCAGATATATGCTATGGTGTGAAAGCAGGCAGGGGGAGCTGGGGTACAAATGAAAGACAAACCAACCCTCTTAAATCGCCTCAGTTTTGGTATCCATTTCTCTCTCACTAGACTCCACCCACACTATATAAGGGTGTTACTTGGCTGACAAAAATATAAGTGGCGGCAATAAAGGTGAGCCTTGAGAAGTAGGCTAGAACCAAAGTGCCACATTGTACTTAATCAAATGTAACCAAACCTGAAAATCTCTGTCTGTTACTCTTTCTTCAACAGGACATGATCTATGGCTGATGCACACATGAAAGTACCTGCAGCTACATGAACCACCTGAAAAATACACAGGTTTAGGATCGCTACTTACATTCATGGTGACAAAATTAAATCAAAATACTTCCCTTCTACGTGACTTTACCGAAAGAACCAAGAAGATGAATCCCTGCAGTCACGAAAGCTTTAAATCGAAATTTAGTCGCAACTGCATTTGACAATAGGTGAAGTACAGTTGATCATCGATTATCCGGCGCACAATTATCCGACTTCCAACATTATCCGGCAGACCCGGGCCGATTAAGCAAAACCCCTCCAAATGTTGGAACCAGTCCGGCAATTGGCACCGTGTGTGTGACAAAGAAGTAGCTATTGCTTGAATTCAGTGTTAAATATTTTATACAGTACATTATAAACTAGATACAACAAAGAATAAAAACACTGCACGTATATAAATCACCCCATGATGCAGAAACTTGGAGATTGGAGTGGTAAGTACGGTACAGTAAATACTGTAACCTTTTAAAGTAGGATATTTATCTTTGTCCATTTGTATGATTATTTATGCCAATTTCACTTGGTAAACACATTTAAAACACTTTAAAAAAAACACATAACCTAAAAACATGTCGTGCAAGAATGTGCAAAAATAAGCTATTTTAAATGATTAGTGACTATCCAGCATTTTTTAAAATCCAGCGCCCCCCCCCCCCCCCCCCCCCCGAAGCCGCTGGATAATTATCGATGATCTACCGTATATTTTTTTTAAAGCACATGTTTAAAAAGATTCAGACTACTCGTTATGAAACAAAAACCCCAACTCATCTCACCCCCATGGCAGCAGAAAATCTTCTCGTCCACAATGGCAGCAATGGGCAGGCAGTTGAAGCAATCTGTGAACGTCTTCCAGAGCTTGATATTGAAGCGCCTCTTACCTGCAAGTAAAAGGGCTCGTCAACCTTCGTGTCGCTTGCACAATTAACGTTCACATTTGATTGCGACAGCTGCCACTGGGACAGCCGTTCAAATGTCTGAGATGTTATATATAAAAAGGCACTTTGATTCGCCTAGGCATTTAAGTGCATAATAAGAGGGTTTTTTTTTCGGTTAGATCGCGTAAATATAAATTTGTCGTTAAAACCACCACCACCTGACACAGCAAACAAGTAAGGTTTGTAAAGTAAATAAAAAACGTGCCAATTAGTTACTAGTTCAGCACACCGATTGTGTTGGCGAGTAAAACACACAATATTTACAATTCGAGTACGACTCATTCAAGTGCCACATATATGCAAATAACACTGTCATTATTATTAATTAATCCAGTCACGAGGACATATTTGTGACGAGGGCAATTACAAAGGAGAAAATAAACACAACAGGGGACGCGTGGCTGCTTGGGCGATGGCTCACACTCGTCGTAGAAGCCATAGATGCGGTTGATGCTGGCACATTCGTGGTTGCCCCGCAGAAGGAAGAAGTTCTCGGGGTACTTGATCTTGTAGGCGAGCAGCAGGCAGATGGTTTCAAGCGACTGCTTGCCACGGTCCACGTAGTCGCCCAGGAAGAGATAGTTGCTTTCAGGTGGAAAACCACCGTACTCGAACAGACGGAGCAGGTCCGTGTACTGCCCATGGATGTCGCCTGTGCAACCATGCGCGCAAAACAAGAACAATCTCATTCATCCCATCCCAGTTTAGAATGATACACTTTCAGGGGGAGTAATGTGTATTGAGTACCTATTCAGGATGACCACAGAATACTTAATTATGTAGCCAGCCAAAGCCTGAACCACATAATTAAGTCTTTAAAAAACTGTAACATACAACAGAAAAGAAGTGTGGTTACAAGCCAATACATTACAAACATAACTTCAGTGAAACAGAGAGAAAATAAAAACAAACAAAGAATGCGGACACACATTTTTAAGATATCAGAAAGGTGGAAGGGACGCAATGAGATAAAGAAAAACACACGCGTACAGTGCTCACGAAGCCATGCTGAACTTTACTCGACAGACCCCACCTCCCCCATTAAGTGACCACAGAGCCGATATGTGAGCCAACAAGGTTCCTTCCAAAGGCACCCAGGCCCATTTCCAAAAGTAACCATTGTTCTATACCAGTTTCATTGATGCTTCTGTGGTTGAGGGTGCTTTTTAACCATATATTTTGCATGTTGTCTATGCTGTTTTGTGTTCCTGCTTATCTTGCTTTGTCATCTTTGAGATGCTGACAAACGTTGCAAATTTCTACCGCGAGATGCGAAAGGAAACTTCACTTGCAGAATCTTCCTTTGGTTCGTTAACCGTTTTAAAGTTACAACAACGTTTAGTTACCATTACATTTCATAAAAGTATTTTTGATGTGTGTTAAATGTTCCAACTTTCATATCTGAGAAAAACTTCTACCAAAGATCTGAACTTACACAGGTAGACTGATCAATGCCCACTTGCAGTCAAGGAATGGCTAAAAACTGGTTACTCAAGTTATGCTGCTGCTGATGACCTCGTAATGGCTACCCATTCCTAGGCAATACCCTGCTGCTGAATTTATATCAAAGATAGATCCCCCCCCATTATGGCCTTCAACAGACTGTTGGGGCAAGTGCTGTTAGCGAGCACCAATGGAGGCCGGCACAGCACACGAGGGGGTGGGTGGCCAGCACTATGCCCGACCGCCTTTGTCTCCCTTGCGGCGATGTTTACACACCGCACCAGGTACTCATTTGAGGCCAAGTCGATCCCAGGGGAGGAGACCCAGGACCGGTTCAGATAATCGTCACTGGTGTTGGCCATGAGCGCGCTAACCATTGCACCACCGCTCCCAAATGAAGGCCATGTGCTTCGATACATACACACGCACGACTCTCCTGCACAGAGTGAGACGGCCAAGACTTTTCCCTCCCTCTCACTGTAAAAAATGGCGCGGATGGTGTCCAGTTGCAAAGTGGGACAAGTATCTATCGACTTGCCAAGTCACTTCATAAGGTTGCGTTCGTGGCAATTCTATCACAATGTAACAACAAACCTGACAGCTAATTTTTCTGTGTAAATGTGCACCCAATTGCAAAACTGTCTGGCAAAATATAATAATTGCAATCTGGACATAAATCATTGATGTTGGTTGTTATATTTTTTATTTTGGTCTGTTTGAATGTCAAAGAAAATGTTTAAAACTCTGGCCATTGAAATCCACGAGTCACCGCATCACAAGCCAGCGAGGGCCATCGAGGGTAAACGCGTTAGGTGCTAAATTTAGCCATTTTTATTTAACTTATATCCCAACAAGTTTGGCCTGCGGTTACAAGGAGAATGTGTTTTAATTGAGACAGCAAATTGAATCCAGATGCCCACCCCCACTTTGCTATGTTTTTCCGGAAACTCAGCTGACTTTTTTACACGGCCGCATGAAAGGTTGCACTGTTGGCCAGTTGCACCACGTCAAAGCACCCCTGTGAGTGTCCTACTCCACACACTTTAGGGGGAACGAGCAATGCACAGAAAATACATTAGTGTGTAGAAATGTGCCACTCAAGAGTTGCGCATTCATGTTCCTTGCAACGGGCAACTTCGCCAACAGCCACGAGCGATCACCGCTGGATGAATTCCCTCCCCACGTCAGCGTCGTCATAATAATTTTCCATTAGCCATCCGTGGTCTTAGCGATGCCGTGGTGATCCAAGCTCGCTCCCGCACTCGTTACTGCTCTGGTTGTCCTCTCAGGCAAGCTCTCTCTTGGCTGCCATTCCTCACTGGTTTAGTCCATCTGCTATCATCCACGCTCGCGCAAGTCAAACAACTTTTTTTTAACGGTATGGATATGTAAATTTTCATGATAAGGCACTTACTAAGTATATATGTTATTTACGTACAAATTTACTGATGCAGCAATAATTCAACTTTACTTTTTCGACCAGTGTTAAATACTTTTTTCACAATAATTAACACTACTAAACAGTAGGGGCTTTAATGAGGATTTACACTTCATTTGGGATATTCAAAGGCCTACATAAATAACTAAAAGTGGTCTCACACGATGGGGAAGAAATGAAGATGAGGGGGGATTGCACAGGTAGAAGGGTGAGCAGGAAGACTCCAGGAAAAAAGGGGATCCATAAGCAGTGGACTAGCAGGGATGATCCACTGGCGAGATGTTATCTGCCTCGTCTGGTACACAGGAGGTCGTGGGTTCGATCACGATCATGACGCCTGTACATTTGGAGTTTGCGTGTCTCTCTCCCCGTGGTCACGTGGATTTTACTCCGGGTCCTCCGGTCTTTCCCTCCATATTTAGAATAATGCGCTTAAGAGTATTTGGCTGCTATAAGTTTCCACATGATAAGCCACTTCGTTGAGCTATCATTTGTGGCCAGGTCGCTTCTGAAGAAGAGCTAGCTCAGTGGGCCTGACCTGATAAAATAAAAAAAAGTTTATAGTTTCAATAATTTATTCCCCACTAAAGCAGGATTGCCAACTGCCACACATTATGCAACGCACGCGTACACGGCCGAGATGCAGCACGACGGTGAGGACGCTCACCGCATATCTTCAGCGGGGCCTCCAGCTCCAGCAGGATGGGCTGGCTGAGGAAGATCTCGCGAGACTTGATGCACAGGCCCCTCACCTCCGCCTCTGTCATGTGCACCGTCTTCCCCGGCCGGCATCCCCGCACTGTGGGCACACGCCGTCAAGTCACTCGCTCAGTTCCTTAGCAAACGAACCAAAGATAAGGGACCATTAATTGCCTTCTTCAATGGTAACTAGAGATTGAGGAATGTGCACCGACATGAATGGGGGATTGTGCAGATGTCGGTAACGAATTGGACCGACAAGATAGGATTTAAGAATGTACCATGGCGCTGATTCATCAATTCACACTGGTTCATCAGCATTCATTTATCATTCCATGGGCAGGGTTATTGATGGTGGACTGGGCTGGCCTTTTCACACAACAGTGACTTCACCCGCATTGACTGTGTGCAGCTGTAATGACACGGATTGATGTCACAGGCCAAACTCGCGAAACCACAAGGATGGCATTATAACAGAAGAATGGTGAGCGGAGGCTTCTCACCTGCCTTGTTAAGTTTACAAACTGCTCCAAACCCATAATTCCATTTACCTGATTTTGTGGAATAAAATGCAAACTAGAAAGCTATTCCATTAAGTGAGGCACACTTATGTTGGGGGGATTTGACTGTACAGTAATCCCTCGCCACTTCGCGGTTCAAGTTTCGCGGCCTCAGTGCATCGCGGATTTTTCGAACTGATTTAAAGGCCTCATTATACCTGTGCAGTAACACCATCATCATCATTCATCATCACATTCATCGAACTGCACAGGTCTGTCATCGTCGTCATTGTTATCGCCGTCGTCATTACTGGAGTCAAGTCTCAAGTTACTACTGTCATTGGTGAGTGTAGAACACCATAATACGTATCGTATGAGGGAGAGAGAATGTATAATATTAAGGTTTTATAATTAGATTTAAGTAAAATATATATATAAAGTATAAATATATATATTTTAAACATTCTGGTACCCACACACACATATACGGAAATTCCTAGGGGGCCAATCCTACTTGGCGGATTTTCACCTATCGCGAGGGGTTCCGGTCCCCATTAACCGCGATAAACGAGGGATCACTGTATAAAGAAATGCCTCCTTGGAAACACAGGAATTGGTTCACACATCAGGCACATAAGCTTACAAGACAAAGGTCCCCATATAGCCTTTACCAGACTGCCGGGGTAAGTGCTGTTAGCACCTATGAAGGTCGGCATGGCACACGAGGGGTGGTGTGGCCAGCACCAAACCGGGCCGCCTTTGTCTCCCCAATGCTTATGTTTACACACCGCACCAGGTACTCATTTGAGGCCGAGTCGACCTAGTAGAGGCCCAGGACCGTGTCAGATAATCGTCATGGGTGTGGGCCGCGAGTGGGAATCTAACTCGGGATGTTGGATTCGTAGCGCAGCGCGCTAACCACTATACTACCACTCCCCACATGAGCTTACACCCACCCATGCACATGCATTTTAAGCATGCCTGCGAACGGTCCGAATTCAAAGAAAAACATTACTCTTATAGTTATACATAAAAAATATTTTTCATTTTTTGTTGTGAATCTTACCCAGACATTACTCGGATCTGGGAATGGGTGTTGACAAGTTGCGTAGTAAGTGTGGCAGAGATTGGTTTGGGAGTATTGTAGTTTCCATCAAAGCATGTGAAGTATCTGCCGATGGAGGTAAATAACATTTCCTGATTGTAGTAACAAGGAGCCTATTGGATGTTTTAAAATTTAAATCGGTCCCTATGTAAACACATTAATCGACGATTTCAATAGATAAAACCGCAAAGTAAAGCTCTCACTTCGGCATCACAAACGCCACCACAACAGTTCGTCTCCTGTAGCCCATGACGCATTTGAGTTACGAAGCACTATTTTGCTACACCAAGTGTCCAGCCTTCCTATTACTCCTGAGCTTTGGTCATGGAAATATTTTATCTATTTATGGCCTTTAGTTTAAGGGCAAGGCGCATTTCCATTTTTAGCCAGACGACGACGGAGGAGCGTTTCAGCCGACACTCCACTGAAGCCCTCTTTGGTATTTGCTAACAATCTCTTTGGTGTGCGCAGGGCACTTTTGGTTTTGCAAAGCAATTATTTGAGGTCGAAACGTTCTTTAAAAAACACATTTTTAAATAAAAATAGCAAAAACTTAAAGTTACTATAGAGCTGATATGCACTGGTTTTCAGTGAAATTAACGAAACCTTATGTGCTCTTATAATTTAACTAATTACATTATAGATTATACACTTTTAAAAAAATGTTGCCTGAAATCGTACACAAAAATGCAAAGTATCCGTTTTAGATACATGCATAATGCGCTCATTGCAACACATTTTACCTGTGTTCTGAATGCAGTGTATGATGGTAAATTAAGATTATACAGTGCAACATTGTACATATGTTGAAACAGTGTTATTATATCTTATTCATTTTCCAAAGAGATAACCTATATACACTTTAAAGCTGGTGTCTGAGTGGTATTAGTTTTCAAGTCGAAAGCTGAGGTATCCCCCACTTTCACTGGGCTGCCGGTTCTAGCTGGAGCAAATGCGTTGCGTTTTTTTGTCCTAGTTGCGATTGATTAACGAGGTTTTAACAATGGGTTAATCGTGTATGGCACACTACCTTTGCTCCATGTCACTTTCAACTAAATGCTCTAATTAGATTGCACGCATTGCCCAAATTCACCCGTGATACCATTTTCACGGAATATTGGCACAAGTTTCCTCCTTGTACATAAACTATTAAACTATTTTTATTTTACCTGGTTAAGGCCTACTGAGCTATACAGCTCTTTTTCAGAAGCGACCTGGCCACAAAGGATAGCGCAACGGAGTGGCTTATCACGTGGAAATGTATAGCAGCCAAATACTCTAAACGCGTGACGTTGAGTCTAAATGCGGAGGGAAAACCGGAGGACCCGAATAAAAAGCCACTCGACCACGGGGAGAACACGCGAAACTCCGAATATACAGGCGTCAGGGTCGAGATCGAACCCACGACCTCCTGTATACCTGGCGAGGGAGTTAACATCACGCGACCGTGGCGCCCTACATAAATCAAGGCCTCCCACGATTTTTGTATTAATGGACTCGAGCCTATTTAAAAAAAAAACAGTAACAATGGAGACATGTCACCCTAGCATAGGAAAAAGGCCATTTCATTCAAGGGAATTTGTTTGGCCATACTTCACCAGAGGTGTTGGTCATAACCAGGCATTTAACTCAGGTAAACGGGTTTATCACACAGTGCGCTGGCCATGTATAAATGAAGGTCATTAATTGTCCGGACTCGCCACAATACATTGTAACGATGGCTTGCACACACCATTGTGCAGATAAACGTTCAGTTTAAATTAAAAGCGTAACGATGCACGTTTGTGCAGCCTGATCATTCAACCTCAATTCTGAAATTTCAACAGTACAAGCATCACATGAGATGATTATGTTAATTTGTGAAAATATGCAGTTACACTTAGGCTAATTGGACAAACAAAAATTGTGCGTGAGCGAGAAATATTTTTTTTATACAAGTACCACGTGCGAGCTGGTAAAAAAACACGTGAGAACCAATTCTTGAGTCGAATCACATCTGTGAATAACTCCGTCGAAAGACGGCAAGAGCGTTGCTGAGACCCGCAGTGTGATCTCCCAAGGTATACTGCGTTCAGCCAGCGACCACACGAGACGCTTCCGCCTTATCGAGCTGTCAGCAACGTTCCTTATCACGCTGCGGTGCCCGGTCAATGTTTCATCGGCAGCATTTGGCTGACAGTGGCTAGGAGATGTTAACTCCCTCGCCTGGTATGCAGGAGGCCGTGGGTTCTATCCCGACCCTAACGCCTGTCGTATCTTTAGAATTTGCGTCTCTCTCTCTGTGGTCGCGTGGATTTTCCTCTGGGACCTCCGGTTTTCCCTCCACATTTAGAAACAACATCACGCGTTGAGAGTACTTGGCTGTTATAAGTGTCCACATGATGATAAGCCACTTCGTTGAGGTATCATTTGTGGCCAGGTCTCTTCTGAAAAAATAGCTATGTGGCTCAGTGGGCCTTGCGTGACTAAATAAAAAAATAGTTTAGTTTTATAACCATACGTAAGTAGGACTATGACCTTAATTGGGCAAAATCAAATGCTTACACAAAAAGTTTGGCAAACAAAACGCATCAGTGTGGATAATGCAGGCAGTTAATGAATGTGGACAGGCATCAACACAGATGCAATCGAATCAGGTTGATGATGTGCCTTTGAAAAAGCTGAACTTAGTAAGCATGTGACCAAACAAGTTGCACAAGAGCAGTGCATGCTGCCTGCTATAACAGACGAATCGCAAACACGGAATTATCGACCAATTAAAAACCTAAGAGTATTTTACATGGGACGACGGTTCTATCGGGCTGGCTTAATGGCCAGGCTATGAGGGGTGAGTTTATAGCGGCTAGGTTGATGTAGAGGCTGGTTATAAGATAGCACACTCACCAGGGGGGATTTATAACATGCATATCTGTAATCTGTCCAACCCCTTATCAGTACCTATCTTATTACAGACCAATTCAGACCTCATTGGTCACCCCGTGCGCTTAAAAACTGAAAGGTTCATCCTACAAAGTCACATCACAAGAGAGAAACGCAAACAAATGTAACTTTGTTTTCCCCGCATTGAAACGGCTGTACGCCGCATGGCCGTGAGGAGTGAATGTCACTGCACAGAGTGAAGCGCCGTGGGTTGGCAGCAGCAGCTGTCTGTGTGCCGTTTACAGCGCTCTCGTGTGGCCAGGAGCTTGTGGGGAGAGCTCACGCGGTGACCTCACGGGACGAGTTGACACGGCAACTATTATAGGGAGCACAGGCAGAGTTGACGGGGAGAGTTGACGGGACTATGGGAGAGTTGACGGGGGGGTGGGTGACGCGTCCCGTCGCTTCGCGGACAGCCGAGGCCGAGCACCGCGTCCTCTCTCGCCGCGACCTCGCTACCGTGAGCGCGCGGAGGAGTGACACGGGGAGCAGTAGCAGCAGGGAGAGCGAGGGAGCGACGGCGACGACGAGGGGAGAGCCACCAGCGCTGCTCACCTTCCAGCAGGCGCGCTATGATGCTTTCCACGTTCAGATCCCCGTCCGCCATTTCGCCGCCACCGCCGTCGCCTCGTGACGTAAACAGCAGTGACGTCATCCGCGCCCCGGCATGGGAGGGGTGAAGGGAGACGGGAGGGGAGAGGGGGTGGGGGGCAGGGGGTGGGGGGGAGAGGGGGTGGGGGGCAGGGGGTGAAGGAGAGGGGGTGGGGGGCAGGGGGTGGGGGGGAGAGGGGGTGGGGGGGAGAGGGGGTGGGGGGCAAGGGGTGAGGGAGAGGGGGTGGAGGGCAGGGGGGTGGGGGGGAGAGGGGGTGGGGGGCAGGGGGTGGGGGGAGAGGGGGTGGGGGGCAGGGGGTGGGGGGCAGGGGGTGGAGGGGAGAGGGGGTGGGGGGCAGGGGGTGAAGGAGAGGGGGTGGGGGGCAGGGGGTGGGGGGGAGAGGGGGTGGGGGGGAGAGGGGGTGGGGGGCAAGGGGTGAGGGAGAGGGGGTGGGGGAGAGGGGGTGGGGGGCAGGGGTTGGGGGGCAGAGGGGGTGGGGGGAAGAGGGGATGGGGGGCAGGGGGTGAGGGAGAGGGGGTGGGGGGGAGAGGGGGTGGGGGGCAGGGGGTGAGGGGGTGGGGGAGAGGGGGGGTGTTTGGGAGCAGGGGGGTGTAAGGGGCGAGGGATCGTGACACCCCCCCGCTCTCCCTGTGCTCGTGGTGTTTGTTGACCCCATGTGACCTCACTGAGTCTTCGCAGTGCTTTCAAAAGGCGAGTTCTGCCAAGTTTGCGCAGTAGGGGGGCGATGTTGCTGCTGTGTGATCCTAGTTGAGTAGTTTTTTAGGTGATTCTTCAGCATTGGGGATGTTTGGCCTCTGCCAGTTGCCTTGTACGTATGTATGTTGAACTTCTTTTGCACCGTACGTAGCCACCCGACACAGCCAATTAGTAATGTTTGTCATGTAAACAAAACGTGCCAATTAGTTACTCGTAAACGGCGGCGAGATGTTAACGACCTTGCCTGGTATACAGGAGTTAGTGGGTTCGATCCCGACACTGACTCCTGCTGTATATTTGGAATTTGTATGTTCTCCACATTTAGACTCAACACGCGGTTCGAGTATCTGGTTACTATAAATGTTCACGCGATAAGCTACTTCGTTGAGGTATCAGTTGTGACCAGGTCGCTTGTAAAAAAGAACCACAGTTCAGTGGGCCTTACCTGGTAAAATAAAACATTGTCCAGTAAAATTCGAGTACGACGTTTCGCCGGTAGGTTACAACCAGCTTCATCAGGCGACAGCCAGAATTGTACCCCCACGAGGCGCATGAATCCACACAGAGAGGCGCCAAGTCGGGATCCGAACCCTGCGGCTCCCTGTGGCTCCCTGTGACCCTCGGGTTTCTTGACATTGACTCCCCGTGTCACGGCCAGGTGTAATCACGGACCCAGTACACTTCGTAGGTCCGTGTTGAACTTTACCCGGGGGAAGAGCCCGTTGGCATTCACGCGTATTGCGGGGGACATCGAGATAATGGGGGACATCAAGATAACGGCGGTCGCACGGCCTTGTCGGCTGAGCAGCTGACTGCGCCGCATTCAGTGACCATGCTGACGAGTCCCCAGCGCCAACACCAGTCCGCGGTTTGTCTCACTACCGCATGTCAGTAAGTCACATTTGTCTCAATTTGTTGACGGTGCTCAACAATGCGCTTCTTGAGGAACTGGTGGTTCTGCATAATGAATTTGTGGAAAGCTTTTGTACATGCAGTGCCCTCTTTTACGTGTTGTTGAACATTTTTCGTTTTTCCTTCGTGCACTAACGTTTGTGGTACGATGGGTTTTCTCGTCATTTACATACAGTACTTCAATTATCGAGATGACTGGGTGTGGAATATTTTAATCTGTATCCAGTGCTCATCATCTCAGTGGCCTGCCTGAGCCCATACTCAGTGATCCCTCCACCCATGCTGAGCACTCGGTCTAGCAGCTACTAATGAAACCCTAAACAGACTAAACCCGCTTCCTTCATGGGTCTGCTCTTTGATTTGCAACGGATGTACCATACAGGACCCACCATTGTGACTTCTACTTCAAATCCAATCTCAAATCACTTGATGCGAGATGAAATCTACATTGGCCCCGCAACCCCAATTAACTATCCCAAGAACGAGAATCGGAATGGGTAACAAACCTTTCGCTGTTACAGCACAGAAGTTTTGGAACAACCTTGGGTCCTCCCTTAGCATCGTATATCTTCCTTAAAAAAATATCCTGAAGCCTAACATGAGTGCTGCATTCAACCACATTTGCAAATGTGATTTGTAACTTTGATCCTTACCCGTTTGGCATCGCTAGTTCCATTTTAATGTGCAATTCTGTTGAAGGACTACTGTGTTGTTATTGTCTTGCCGTATTCTGGGTCTGTTGTTGGTTTGCTGCCTTTCCCTAGCTTGCATTCATTGTTAAAATTATATACTCTTCCAATTTGTACTCAATGTAATTTATTTAACATTTTTTTTTCAGCGATTTGCTTACCTCTCCTATACTTTGCACTCCAATCGGTTTTGTTTGTATTGTTTGTTGTTGTAACTTTCTGACCCGCCCCCTACTGGACATCTGTGATTCATAACTCATCGGATTTCTCCAGGATAAATCAAAATTCTGATTCTACAAAGACTAACCCGGTTAATCTATTCCACGCTGTCCACCACACATTACGCCGCAGGCTACAACACGTTCTTGCTTCTTTCCTCACACTGCTCCATTTTGGAATGTCCTCCCCATCATCCCTTTCTCACTGACCGTCGTAGGGGTTCACAGTTCAACTCCAGAGGCCATCCTGATAATTACTGCGGGTGTATAAATGTGTCGAGAAACCCGCTACCACCCGACACAGCCAATTAGTACGGTTTGCCACGTGAACAAAACATGCCAATTAGTTACTAGTTCAGCACACCGGTGTGTTGGAGAGTAAACCAACAAACATTTACAATTCGAGTACTGTGAAGTTTCGCCGGTAATTACAACCAGCCTCATCATCGCCTGACACAGGCAACTTAGTAAGGTTTGGCACGTGAACAAAACATGAGAATTAGTCACTAGTTCAGCATACACTGATGTATGCTGAACTAGTAACTGATTGACATGTTTTAATTGCATGTTTTGCTTACGTGACAACCCTAATTGGCTGTGTCGGTTGGTGGCCGGTTTAACAACACATTTTATATTTACGCGATCGAACGGTAGGCGCTAAATATCCCCTGACGTAATTTGCTAGTGGGCCACTGTGCCACTGTGTGTCGGTATCTGGGTCCAAATTAAATAAATTCTAAAATTACAGTCCCATACCCACAAATTACTCAATTGGAATTATATAGAGCAATCATTGCCCCCCGACGACTAGCCTCAGTGGCGAGATGTTAACTTCCTCACCTGCTTTGCAAGAGGCTGTAGGTTCGACACTGACCCTGGCGCCTGTTGTATATTTGGAGTTTGCATGTTCTCCTCGTGTTCACGTGGCATTTATTCCGGGTCATCTGGTTATACCGTTCACATTTAGAAATGTGTTTAAGAGTATTTGGCTGCTATAAATTTCCACATGATGATAAGCCACTTCGTTGAGCTATCATTATTGGCCAGGTCGCTTCTGAAAAATAGCTATTTAGTTTAGTGGGGCCTAACCTGGTTAAATATATATATATTAAATAGAATAATGCCCATGGCCACTCTTGCAAATTATACTCTCCTGGTCTCTTGAGTTCTCACTTGCTTAAAGAAAACAAATCTGCCAACTTGTTCCTTTGAGGGTTACGCGTGAACTCTTTATCTACTAGCTTGTTTGTCTGTCCTAGGACGGAAGCTGTAATATTTACAAAAAGATGGAGCAGAGTATAATTGTATCTTGTGTAAATTTAATGGCAGTAAATCTTGCACAAAAGTACGTCAAACACTTCACTGCATTTCACTGTAGCACTGTATTAATGGCAGTGAATCTGGCACAAAACGAAGTCAAAAACACTTCACTGCAGTTCACTGTAGCACTGTATTAATGGCAGTGATTCTTGCACAAAACTAAGTCATAAAACACCTCACTTCATGTCACGGTAGCACTGTATATAACTAACCGTCAATTTGTTCAAATTCACTGCTCTTCTGCTTTTGGTCGCTGGGGTTGAAATAAATAGGAAATCGCTACAATATCTGGAAAATCACCGAAAAAAGTCTATTATACCATAATGTTGAAGCATAAATTAGACTTGCCTTTTGTCTCAAGTGGTGAAGATTCCAAAGAACACAGGATGAGATGTTATTATCCTTTGTGCAAGCACTTCCAAGAGTTCATGAACAGTGAGCCTGGTGAAATTTGGGGAGCGCATCGTCAGTAGTGAACCTTTGGGTCCTAGGGTGTTTCGGCCTTTCATACTATACACCCTCCCCAAAGGCGGCCAGCGACAGGGTGATCAATCCTACGCTTGCGTCCCATTCCCAATTAGTCATAGGAGTTGCCTTGTTGTTGGTAGCCAACATCCCATGGGACTATGCATGGCAGGGGCGTCCTCCTCCCTGAGTCAAGCATTGTTGACTGCATACCTCCTGGCCCTCTCACTTTGGGGCCCAGCTGGGGTCTTTCCTCTTCATCCAGAGCCACTGACTGCTGCCTTCTGCCGCCTCCGATACAGCTTTGATTGCCGAACGCTGGCTCTGGCCCTTAATTCCCAGGTCTCTAAGCAGTCTGGTTGTAGATGTTGCCACAAAACCTCTGCAGCCCACCTCCACTGGTCGGACTTCTGTGTTCCAGCCATGATGCCGTGCTTCGGCAGCTAGATCGGCATAGCGCAGATGTTTTCGCTCATAAGCCTCATCTACTGAGTCCTCCCAGGGTACTGTGAGCTCAATGATGAAGACCTTCTTGAGCGAACGGGACCAGAGCACCATGTCAGGTCTTAGGGTGGTGGTTGCGATCTCCGGAGGAAACACAAGTTGCCGGCCAATGTCAGCTAGCATTTTCCAGTCGCGGGCCAAGCGCAGCTGGTCTCGCTCTATTGGTGTAGAGCCGCTCTTCGGTGGTTTAGCCCCTTCGCGGACAAAGGTCGTCCGTAAGGGGTGTGATGCTGCTGGGGGTGGTAGGGAGTTGGTGGCAGCTCGCTTGTCCTCCAGGGCGGACGCAAGGTTTTTAAGGACTTGGTTGTGACGCCAAGTGTAGCGTCCTTGGGTGAGGCTTGTTTTACACCCTGTAAGAATGTGCCTGAGGTTGGCTGGCATGGAACAGAGGGCACAGTCCGGATCTTCACCATACCATTGGTGAAGATTAACTGGTGTTGGAAGGATGTCATATGTTGCTCTGATGGAAAAGCTCAACCGCCTCGCTTCCATGGCCCACAGATCCTTCCAGCTGATCTTCCTCTTCTCCACACTGTCCCTTTGAGTCCACTGTCCTTGTTTGGCAAGAGAGACTGCCTTGGCCCACCTTGCAGCCTCCTCCTGATGGCGTACTTCCTGCACTACCATCTTCCGCCGCTCTGGTGCAGTGGCCTTACTCCAAGCAGCATGGCTAGTTAGCCCAAGGCCTCCTCTCCCTTGCTGAACATGACCCACAATGTCAGCATGTCTGAGGGCTGCTGTTGCCTCCTGGACTGCTTTTCCTGGCCTCCATTTGCGCCCAGTTGCCAAGGTCGGCGCGTTGTTGCTCACCACTGGGTCTCGAGATTCATTCAGTGTCATCTGGAGCCTGGTTTTTGCACACTTGAATTCCTCGGTTAGACTGGTGAGGGGCAGCTTGAGGACACCATCTCCATAGAGGCCTATGGTGGTAAGGCATCGTGGAACTCCGAGCCACTTCTTTAAGTAGCTCGTGGCTCCTCTTTCCATCTTCTCCACTGTTGAGATTGGAACCTCATACACTGCTAGGGGCCACAACACCCGGGGTAGGAGACCAAACTGCAGACACCAGGCCTTTAACTTTCCAGGTAGCTGGGTGTTGTCGATGGACTGTAGGCTACTACTGATGTCTTTGCGCAGCTGTTGCACCTGGTCTTTGTCCTTCAGGCTTGCATCATACCACCTTCCAAGGCTTTTTACCGGCTGCTCAGACACTGTTGGGATTTGGTCATCTCCGATGAAGAATTTCAGGTCACAGAGTACTCCCTTCACAATCGAGATGCTGCGTGACTTGGATGGTTTAATCTTCATACGGGCCCAGCTGATGTTCTCGAGTTTTCTGAGCAGTCTCCTGGTGCATGGGACAGTGGTGGTCAGTACGTCAAACACTTCACTGCATTTCACTGTAGCACTGTATTAATGGCAGTGATTCTTGCACAAAACTAAGTCATAAAACACCTCACTTCATGTCACGGTAGCACTGTATATAACTAACCGTCAATTTGTTCAAATTCACTGCTCTTCTGCTTTTGGTCGCTGGGGTTGAAATAAATAGGAAATCGCTACAATATCTGGAAAATCACCGAAAAAAGTCTATTATACCATAATGTTGAAGCATAAATTAGACTTGCCTTTTGTCTCAAGTTGTGAAGAAATAAATACACCAAATCCACTTTCTTGCTGCGTATTTATTTATTTATTAGATTCACTTTCAATAAAGAAACGTCAAACTTAAAGCGAAATTGCGAAAAAATATTTATTTCCGCCCGACCTTCTGCGTGAGTGTAAAAATCCACCCGCTCATGAATATTAATGACAGGGTGGGGGGGGGGGCATGTGGAGTGACGTCACGCGCGGGACACACAAGCAGACATTCTTAGCTCATTATAGTAGTAATTGGGACTTTTAACGGTGCTGTCTGTTGCTGGCCCCTTGACGTTTTAGGCGTGTGCTTAGCAACTGTTTAAACCACACACGTGGCCGTCCCATCACATCATCATCATCAGGTCACAACGCTTTCTTTCCACGATCCGTGACAAATTTCATTTCACCGTCATTAAGTTGCAGTTCACTCTACTTGTGCCAAAACTTTGAAAGCCAGACACTTACTTCCTTTTTTAAAAATCCTGTTTTCTGTTCATAAACACTATCACCAACACAATAATGGATGTGTTCACACTTGCTCTAACAAGCAAAACAAAATCATAACATTGGGCCTCGATATTCTAAGTAAAATTGTATTATATTATATTCTCCACTTTATATTTGACAATTTCCAGGAAGTGCTCAGTTTGGTGCGATGCAAGTTGCACGTTAACACATTCAAGTAGATGGCACAACTCATTTGTTTGACCAGGTGTAAACCCAACCAGACCAGGGCAGTCTCATTTGCAAACGTTACCTGGGTCTCCAAAATAACAAACTCAAAACTAATAAAGTATAGCAATGAACCGAATTAAAATCATATAAAAAAACAACCGTCACATGGGATATCAAAGCTGAATTTATTTTTAGATCTTAACAAAGAGTAACGTGCCTGGAGTAAATGTATTAATTGGATATCACCAATCTTAATTTTGGAGCTTTCGTGACTGCAGGAATTATTCTTTGGTTATTTCGGTAAAGTCACATATAAAGATAAAATAATAAATTAAATAATAGCATACGACGTTTCGATTGCAACACAAGCAATCATCATCAGGTATAATGAAATAGCGACACAAAATCTAACCAGAAAACCACAGACAGACATATAAGCAAACAGATATCACCAAGATACACAGAGAGAGCAACACAGGTACAGAGAGGGGTGATCGTCACTTGAATAATTGGCGAACTGGCAGAGGCAGCATCGTTAGAAATGGGGCTCCTTTAGCAGCATCGCAATACCGAGTAGACAAATATACGGGAATGAAGTTGGGTAAAATGAACCTCTATATAAAAAAATATGAAAATAATGAGAAACAGAACATGACACAACAATAATGAACGAACGTGTCGAGGTTTTGTTTTGATTGAAGAAGACATCGGAGCAAGCAGTGGCAGCATTGGAGCAGAAACAAAGGGGTTTGAAATGACTAGAAATTCACAAATGGTCGCTCTTGCGGGGAAAAAACAGTGGAGGAATTTAATGCTGATCTCAAGCAAACATTTTAGTTATACGGCCCAGTAATGGGTGAATCAGAGAAAGCTCTAGATGTCACCTTTGATGCAATAAACGTCTTCAATGTTATGCTGTATCAAGAGAGCCACCCATACATAAAAGCCAAGAAGGAAGAGCAGACACATGTATAGCGACGTAAATACTGTCACGACACTGTTAGCGCCAGCCACTATTTCTGGAGTGCCGCCGAGCGCCGGGAACCTCTCTGGGAGGCTTGAGGGACACGTGGCCGGGAGGAGCTCCTGACTTGATACAGCAGCAGGGGGCGAGGCCGCAAGCAGGGAAATAAAGGGGAGCCCCGAAAGGGAGCGGGGTTCGTTGTGAGGATCATCTTCGCTCCTCGTTAAGTCTTAGCTGGGGATCGTGGATCCGGCAGCGTGTGTGCTGACTGGCCCGTTGGTTACAGTTAACTTCCACGCACATAGCGAACAGTATAGCCACACCGAGCTATTAGAACCCAGAGTGTAGGTTGTTTATTAAACGTGTTGCCTCCAGTATAGTGTGTGTGCCTTTGTATTGCACACGACACATGCATGGATTCTGGAATGCTTTACATCCCTTTTGGTGACTTAGGGGCCGTCCATAAATGATGTCACGCACCTAGGGGGGGGGGGGTCAGACATTTGTGACGATGTATGACGGGGGGGGGGGGGGGGGTTGAGAAATGTGACGTCACATCAAAATGCACAATTTTAAATAAATACAGTATACACAACACGTTCTAATTAATTAAATATACGTTTTAATAAATGTTGTCTGCTACAACATCAGAGTGCAGCGCCACATTAAATATGCACTACACTGACAATAGTTTAAAGCGATTTGAAGCATGTTTTATATTTTGGGGGGGGGGGGCAGAGGTTTGTGACGTCATATTTGAGGGAGGGGGTCTGACTTTTTGTGACGTCGTGTGACGAAGGGGGGGGGGGGGGGGTACGGCCCCTTACAGAGTATTTAAAAGTCGTTTATTGGGGGTACAGGCAGACTTCGCTTAGCACAGCCCCTTAGAATTCCGATAAGTGATGGCGCTCTTTGTCCCGGAGGAGAAAATGTTTACGATAAAAAATAAGAAAATCTAGAAATTCTTAAGGCGCCATCCATTTAGTACGTACGCAAAAATCTGTCAAAACTTAACTCCTTCCCCCCTCCCTGTACACACGCGTACATTCTACACCCCCCCCCCCCCGAATCCTATAGAATGGCCAATATTTAATCCAAATCCACGCAGATTAAATATCGGCCTAGCTTTATGTGGCACATTAGGAATGGATCACTCTTTTAAGTATGTCCTTGTGCAGCAAACCTCCTGGCTACCATCAAAGGTTTGTACACGAAGCCATACAAATATACAAACACAGACATAATTTCAACCGTGATGATGGTTACAAACTTAGTAATCATTGGAAAGATGTTATTAACCACGCAAAAAAGACTTAATTACACTTTTTTGACCATCTTATCTGACAGGCACTAGTTTACTTTACTTGACCGAGTGTTAACATCCCCAGTGTTTAACAGTAATCTCTTCATTGTTCAGCCAGCATTGGTATAAACATACGCATTTTCTTTCTTTTCTCATGTGTATCAGACCTCCCCCCTCCCCCCTCTCTGTCCAATGCATTGGCGTGGGCAGCAGTGTGTCGCTTGCGCACAATAGCTTCCACGCCGTCGCCCACCCCTTTTTTGGCCCTTCTCTCCCGATACTTTCCATTCATTGGCTACCACATTCTGATGAGCCCCCCCCTCTCCTCCCCCCTCAACTCGCTTTTAAGGGATTACATCTTGAATCATTGCCTCACTTGATGCAGCTGATCTGGCTGTGACTGTCCCACCTGATGACGGAGACTTGTGCTGCCTCCGAAACGTCGTGATCTTTATTTTTATTTTATTATTTTATTAATTTTGATGTTTTACCTACGTGACTTTACCGAAAACACCTAAGAATAGAATAAGAGTAAAGTGTGGTTCTGTGAAGGTCCTGATGTGCTGTGCAGTGCATCAACAACACGTGTGTACAGCAGCATGTGATGACTGAGTCGGGCCTGTAGGTGGCTGGCAGGGTTAATGAATAACCGCACGTGTAAACCAGCCACATGGTTAATGGCGTCTCGGAAGGATTGCTGCGTGTAACTCGCGCTGTTGCATTTTACAGGTAAAGGACCCAAAGGTTGATTTTGATCGTTATATAAATGTTTTAGACTTGTTCTAGACTTTAAGCTTGACTTTGAATTGTTCGTTTGTGATATATGCAATTAGAGGCATTTTAGCACTGCATTGTAAAGGGATGACGCACTGTAATTAGTTACTGTCATTGTAATTCTCCAACTCTAATACTGTTTAGTCTATAACCATGCCCATGTACCCATAGTATGACTACTGCTATTGAGAATAGAACATATGTAAAGTAGTAAGCTGTACAATGGTGAGATACAGTACGTATACTGTACACATACAGTACATATAATGGGTGTAATATACCGATATGTGGATGGTATAGATAGACATACAGCTTAGGATTAAAGTAATAGTCGAATAGTGATGTGCAAATGTGATTGTCAAAGACAAGGATGGTTTATAAGTAGTAGAATTGGGTTTAAGAGAAAGGGTAAATGAATAACCGCACGTGTAAACCAGCCACATGGTTAATGGCGTCTCGGAAGGATTGCTGCGTGTAACTCGCGCTGTTGCATTTTACAGAGTGACGGTGCGGTTCTTCACAAGATTAATATTAACTACAATAAATAAATGTGCTTGCCCTCGATTTGGAGCACCTGCCCACGTCCTTCATTTCGAGTGTGCAACATTTACACACAGCTTTGTACAGTTATACTTGACCGTGTTATCCATCCTGACTGGTAATTAAAAAACACGTCTATTATGATCTTAAAACACAATTAAACCTCGGTGAACTAGTCTCTATATAAAGTGCGTCGACTGAACTTCTGCTGTAGCAGTAAACCGACGTACAGAGCAGTGTTAGTGCTGAAGTCCAGGCAGCAGCAGCGCAAACAGAGCACCGCAGCAGCTACAATCTTGAGCCAGCGGCAGTCTGCAGTGAGGCCAGATTGAAAGATGTGTAATCATCCATGGGACAGGCCGCCAGACGATGTCACTCACTGCTGAGCTGCGTGATAGCTGCAGTCAGGGGTATGGTGGCATACGAGTGACACCTCTCCCACAGTCCCACTTCTCCCGGTAGTACTTGTTGTCTGACAGCTGAAGAGACTGAACTGTGGCTCATTTGAAGGCCAATGTAGACAAATTATTATCGAGACTTCACCCCCCCCCCCCGTTTCCTATGCGTACTGATGCTCCTGCTGGTGTGGAGTGACTCATGCAGTCAGCTATGGCTACAGGGTTTGGTGGTACATGTTGTTTATGTCGTTTATTGTGAAATTTCGGTCACAGTTCCTATGATCACCGTTACATTGCGTATGGCTTTATTTTGGTTATTTCGAAATGTTTTTTGGTTTGGCCATGTTTGTTTGTTGGAGTACAGAGTTAGAATGATGGCTTTAATCTAAGTTGTCTTGTGGTTGTTGTTTGACTTGCATCCCACTGGGATTTTTGCACAGCGTTGGTGTACGGTGCTTTTTTTCTGGAACTTAGCAGTTTTTTCCTGGATCTTTCTGTTTGTGCATAGTCACTTTAAGATGTTTTCTTGTTCATGTTTTTGTTTTTTGTTTGTTGCGGTTGCACCCAATTCAAGAGCCGAATGGCTCGCAGGGCTATACCAAATAAATGAAATTGCATTTTCAGCAGACCCCCCATAAGCGTACGCATTTGGGTTAACCCCCCCCCCCTCCATGCGTCCGTACTAAATGGATGGCCCCTGAAGGCCACACGCGCGAGAGCACGCAGCAGCGTTGACACAGGGAGCGTCACACCGCCCCTGCCACTAGCTCAGCCAATGAGAGCGACGCATGGCTCTGAGCCAACCACAGACCTCCACCCCCCGCGATTCTATTATCACGCATCGTGGTAACGATTACATTAAAATAATATATCGATGCTATACATATATATTTTAATGTTATCACAGCGTCCATAATAGATATATAAATTCGTTGTTAAAACCCACCACCACCACCCAACAGCCAACTAGTAAGGGTTGTATACTCTTTGGTTCTTTCGGTAAAGTCACGTAGGTATAAAATAAATCACGACGTTTCGATCGCAACACAAGCGGTCGTCCTCAGGTGGAAAAAATAGAATCCAGCAGTGGAACTGCTGAACTAGCGAGAGAGCAACTACAACAAGGTTATATATGTGGCGATGGGCAAGCAAGCGGGGTCTGAGCTGGAAAGGAATTCCACCCCCAGACGTGAGCACCTCAGTTGTGTTAATGGGGGAGATTAGGGAGAGATTAGGGAGGGAGATTAGCATGAATGAGCTTCCGTCGCCGCATAAGAGTATCATGCCCGCATAAGAGTAGCATGCCCGCATATGCGCACAACAGCAGTGTTAATGAGAGATTAGCACCATGAGAGAGCAATCCAAAGGGCATGTGAGCATGAGAGTGCAATCCAAAGGACATGTGGGCATGAGAGTGCACTCCAAAGGACATGTGAGCATGAGAGTGCAATCCAAAAGACATGTGAGCATGAGAGTGCAATCCAAAGGACATGTGAGAGATCTAAGAGAGAGGCATAAAGAGAGAGAGACACAGAGTCGGAAATAACAGCTGACATAGGCAGGTAGGATGGAAACATCACAGTCAGTTAAGACTTTACCTGGTTAATCAAGTCCTTCCAATGATTGCTCAATTTGTACCCATCTTCTCGGTTGAAGTTGTCTGTGTTTATATATCTGGATGGCTTCATAAACAAATCTCTGATGATAGCATGTATAAAGGTGTCAGTTTTTGTACCAGTTGAAAGGGTAAAAACCTATTGCTATATTTTGCCACTGGTAAAGAAGGTCTCAGTGATAGCATGTTGTTTCGTTTCCCCAATGTAACTGCTGCCACAACCACAACTCCGTTTGTAGACACCAAGGGTATTACATTTCAGGAATCACATCCTTTACAGATGGGATTAAATCACGGATTGTGTACTGTGTTAAAACGAACCTGGCTCCTGTGTTTGTTTAAGATTTTGTAAATCTTTTTGGTAAACCCTGCTATGTATGGCAAAATGATGGTTTTGGTTGGATCCTCAGAAGGTTGTCTCTCCATGGCTCGGGAGGCAGCTTTGCAGATTGTACGGTCCGAGTATCTGGCTCAGACCCCACTTGCTTGCCCATCGCCACATATATAACCTTGTTGTAGCTGCTCTCTCGCTAGTTCAGCAGTTCCACTGCTGGATTATATTTTTTCCGCCTGAGGACAAGCGCATGTGTTGCGATTGAAACGTCGTGATTTATTTTATTTTATACCTACGTGACTTTACCGAAAGAACTAAAGAGTATGGATTCCTGCAGTTACGAAAGCTTCAAATCAAGTTTAGTAAGGGTTGTCACGTAAACAGAACATGCCAATTCGTCACTAGTACAACACACCCATATGTTGGAGAGCCAAGCCACAACATTTAAAATCTGAGTACGATTTAAATTTCGATTTAAAGCTTTCGTGACTGCAGGGATTCATCTTCTTGGTTCTTTCGGTAAAGTCACGTACGATGTTTCGCCAGTAATTACAACTAGCTTCATCAGGCGACAGCCAGCGTGTTTAGCCAGGTGATAACTCACGACACCAGGATAGAGTCTCAAGCACCACCTAAGAGAAACCTCGCCACAGAAATATAGACTGAGGGCATCACTAAGACCACCACGGAGGTCCTGGAGCTCTTCTCTGAGATTGACGCAGATCAGGAGTGCAGCAGCAACAGCTCCTACAATCTACTGCACACGAGTACAGTACATAATACTTACTGATGTTATTTTATTAAATAATTTTCATTCATCAAATGTTTACCATCTGTATTATTCTTAGCGTGATTACTGATACTCCATACTCTTTGGTTCTTTCGGTAAAGTCACGTAGGTATAAAATAAAATAAATCACGACGTTTTGGGCGCAACACAAGCGTTCGTCATCAGGTGGGACAACCACAGCAAGAAACAATTGCTGAAGTGGGCAAAAGGGGCTGCTGCAACAAGAGGCCAAATAGGCAAGAGAAGGGGGGGAGGAGCCAGGGAGGAGAGACAGGGAGGGTGGGGGTGTGGGGTAGGGGGAGTGGAGGCTACAAGTAAGACGCAAGCACGGCAAAAAATTCCGGGGTGGGGAGGAGAAATCGGCGGGGCTGGGAGTGGGAGGGTTAGGAAACTGGAGATGCGGATATGAAGGCAGGCCAAAAGCAGTTATGGTTTTACCTGGATAATAAAATCCTTCCAATGATTGCTCAATATTTTATTTTATACCTACGTGACTTTACCGAAAGAACCATAGAGTATGGATCCCTGCAGTCACGAAAACTTCAAATCTAGATTACTGATAATCCAATGAAGCCCTCATACATTGCTCATACGAAATAACGATGTTGGGAACGCATCCCTATATATACAATGATATGACCCCTTTTTAGCACTGATTCGAGTAGTGCTCATTTCTCCAGGAACGCACCTTGAGCGCTAGGCGCAGTTTGCCTGCGTATAAAGTAATTTATTAAACATCCTGGTGTATTTGTTTTCATTCGAAGTTTTGGGTAACTAAAGGGGAAGCGGTCAGCTCCGGCGCCCTCAGCTGTCCCTGCGGGTGGCACACGGCACCGTGCAGTCCCAAGTCCACGATCGCCGCGCCAGCACCATGGCCAGCACCAGCGTCCACGTGCGCATGGGGCTCAGGACGAACGCCAGCGCGCCGTACGCCTGCAGAGTCGCCGCGGCGCCCTGCGCCTGCCATGCCAGCAGAGCGAGGGCCGGCACGTGCACCAGCAGCGTGCGGCAGCGTCCCGCGGCGCCGCGGGCGTGCGACCCGAACGCGAGACCCGTGGACACGCGCAGGCGCAGCACCCAGCAGGAGTAGAGCGTGAGTGGCACGTTGAAGAACAGCACCTGGCCCGGGTGGGGGTGGGGGGGGGTGAGAGGGACAATGACGAGATGGACAAAATGGGCGACGATGGTGGCGACGACGGCAAGCCGAACGCCCATGGGTTGGCACGCGCGGCGAGCCACGTGGTTGAGGAGGTCAAGGGCCCGGAGCAGAGTGCCCAACAATCAACGTGCATGCCTGTTTCTACCGCAAGCGGTGCTGTACTGCGACGCTCATCACCTGAAAGATACCCATGTAGAACGTCAAGCCGCTCTGGAAAAACTTCTCTCCGGTGACAATCCCGAACGAGAAACAAGCACCGTAGCTGCCATCGATTATTTCTCCGACGAACCACGGTCCTGGGGGGGGGGGGGGGGGGGGGGTTTGTGAATGTTTTCGACCGTAGCGAAGAGTGGCCATTGTATTCCAAGCCGTGGAGTGGGATGCACACAAGGGGATGACCCGTGGGGATGCTCTTCCATTCCAAGGACTGAGGGCAGACAGGCACGGGTATGTGGCAGCGCTATGTGACGTATAGGGGCCCAGTCGGCCACAAGGGGGACACTAAATACAAAAAAAATACAATGTTAAGAAACATTATTTCAATAATTAAGCATAAATGCTAAAAAAAACATGGTTACAAGTTAAACAATATTTCCAAAAGATACGCACAGTGTAAAATCTAGTAGCCGCTACCGCTGGTGTTTGTTACTGAACACCACCAGGATTGTTTTGCAAACTGACACGATAACTTAATTACCTTTAAATATTTTTATTAATACTGTCATTGCGGTGAGACTTCTTCATCTAAACCCAATACACGGTGCAACTAAAATAATATGTATAGTTTCGCCTACATTGTATACGGGGTGAAAAAGATCGGTAGCTATTTCAGTAATAGTGAGTCAGGAGAAAGGTAGGGGGCCCACAGTGGGATCTTACATAGCCCCCCCATTGAAGTAGGTAGCTGCACCCCTACAGACCGGCACGCATCACGTGTTCTGCACGCACCAATCATTGTGTAGACGGAGAGCACAAAGAGGGGGTAGAAGAGTCCGTCGCTGCGGCAGAGCAGCCAGAAGGAGTGGTAGCACCGCGCCAGCCACCCCGACGACGCTGCACAAAGCGCACAGCACGACGATGCACAAAAAGACATCAAGCAGCCGGCAGCAGCCACGGAAGCACTTTCGGCGCGTGTAAATCGACACGTTGCCGTGTTTCACGAATTGAACAAAAGGGGTTGTCGTTTAAGAGCTCGGTGGGGGGGAGAAGAAAAAAGGATGGGGAGGGAATTTCAAAGTAGAGGAGCGCTCTCCGAAGCAGAAAGCGCTTCTCTACGGAGAGTGCTCTGCTACTTTGGAATTCCCTTCCCATCGTCTTTTTTTTTCCTTCCCCCCCCCACGAGCTCTTTAATGACAGCCCTTTTCTCCGAAGCGGGGAGAGCAACGTCACTTCTGGTGTGGCAGATGAACACGGTGTGAGCGAGACGAAACGGTCAGTCTCGTAAGCCGGGTCCTCATCAATAAACGAGAGATAAGGGGGTGAGTAATAATAATTTAAAATTTCTAAGGCGCATTTCATCCAAGTGTAATAAAATGACTCAGACACTTCTTTCTGACTTCGTGTCCTTTATTGGGTTCTTGTCTTCTCCCACACGGCACTCTGTTATAACACTGTATTTGTAGCCCCCGGCTGTTATCGCTATTATAGCTTCCTCTCTCTCTCCCCGCAGACTCTCTGCCTCGTCTACTGTGACCTCCGTTCTCTCCCTGCAGACTCGCTGCTAACTCTCTATGCAGACCCCCGCTGCTAACCCTATATGCAGACCCTCTTGGCTGCTACTCTGTATGCAGACCCGCTGCCAACTCTGTATGCAGCCCCGCTGCTGACTGCAGCCTCCTCGCTGCTTCGGGTCGGTCACCGCTGGCCAACGGTGCCGATCCTCGTTCCCCTGTGTTCGTGGCGATCTCGCCACCCTCCGCTTCGCCCTTCGTGGCCTCTCCCGTTCCTGGTCCCCCGTCACTCCCTTTCCTCTTCCGGTTCTCCTCCCTCTATAGCTTAACCCCTCTCCCCCGCGTGACCTAACTCCTCCCCTCCTGCCGTCACTTCCGGAGGGCCGTTTACGCCCGCATTACATCACCCTCCCCCATAAAGAAAATCCAGCCGACCTCGGCTGAAATGCAACTTGACAAGCAATGCGGGTGTAAAGCACCGACACATAAAAAGACACGAAGCATGCAACAACAATATAACAAGAACACAACACAACACAATTTAACGAAACGTGAGGGATTTCGAGCGAGTACGGGTAGCCGGGCCGTCCTGGACGGTCGGCAGCCCACCCGCTGAGCGGGAACGTGGCGGGGTTTTAAGGGCGACGGGAGCGAGTTCATCCGTCGCCATTGGAGGCCCGCCACTGTCCCGGTCGCGTCCAGAGACATCCCGTAATCGCGTCCGCGGAGGGATAGGAAGAGCTGCAGGTTCCGTAGGTCCTGCGGCTCCGGTCGGCATCCCACAAGCGGAACATCCTCCTTCCTGCGGCGTCACGGCCGGCTTGTCTGTGAAGGGTACGACAGGCGCTCTCGCAAGGTCAGCAGGCACAGGCAAGGGCGAGTCGGTAGCAACAGACCCCGGCAAGGCAACTTCGGGAGATGACGCATCCGGCCGCGGGGCAATGTATGGCTTCAACCGAGATGTATGCACGAACCAGCGCCGCGAACCAACCCGAACACGCGCCGACTGTGGGTTGGGAACCTCAATGAGGCGGACCGGACCTTGCCATGGTTTATGTAATTTAGGAGAGGTACCTGGTCGCACCTGTGGGCAATGAAGCCAGGCCAGGTCCCCCGTTTTCCAGGGGCACTCCCCCTTCGAACGTCGGGCACACCGCTCATTCCTGGCCTGGGCTTTGGCCGTAGCCATGCGGGCTCTTTCCCTCGCCTCAGTGACACGGCGAACGTTGTCCTGAATATACTCAGGAAGAGGCTTAACAGGTCCCCTCGCACCGGTTCCCAACTGCTCATTAATCGGCGGCACATTTTCACGGCCGTACATAAGAAAGAACGGCGAGTATCCAGTAGCCGCGTGCGGCGTCATGCGATACGCCGAAAGCACCCCAGGGATATGCAGATCCCAATCAGATTGATTTTCCCCGACTGTATGGCACAGCATGGCGGACAGAGTCCGATTCAACCGCTCCACCATACCATCCGTTTGTGGGTGGTAGGGGGACGTCCGTATCTTTTTAGTTCCAAGAGCCGCACACACCTCCCCCAACAATTTGGACGAAAAGTTACGCCCTTGATCTGTAAGGAGCCTCTCCGGCGCCCCCTTATCCATTACATACCCAAATAAAAAGGCGTCAGTGATAGACGCCGCTGACTGGTCAGGCAAAGGCCAGGCCATCGGCCAGCGGGAGAGGTACTCCACCCCCACCAGTAAATACTTATTTCCCTTAGCGGACGGCGGAAAGGGTCCCAAAATATCTAACGCCACCAGCTCGTTAACCCGAGATACTTGAATCGATTGTATCGGCGGAACATATGGATGTTTAGGCGGCTTACGGCGGGCACAATCGGGACACGCGCGAACGTGACCGACGACATCCGTCGTCATGCCGTGCCAATAATAGTCTCGCTGCAGCGTCAATAGGGTTTTCTGCACCCCCAGATGTAAAAGTGTGTCACAGTGCAAAGATCTAATCAATTCGTACCGCAATGACGCAGGTACAACGAGACGCCAGTGTTCCTGTATCCCTTCCCTCCACATCAGCAACCCATCTCGGAGAGCAGTTTCCGAAATACCACCCGCACCGAGTTCCTTACCCGCCTTCTCCGTTCGTTTTCGTAACGACACCAAAGATTCGTCCAACATTTGCTCCCGAATCCACACAGACCTCGGAAGACGCAAAATCCCATCAGCGGGTCCCCCATCAACCGGTCCCGGTGTAAGTGGAGTTTCAAGAACATCCACCGCCAGCGCGACAGGCTGAGGGGGGAGCTGAATCGGTCCACACCTATGCGTCCCCGACGCACACGCACAAGGGGATTGTTGCGGCAACCTGGAAAGTGCGTCCGCGTTAGCGTGACGCACACCCTTCCGATGGTGAATTTGGAAGGAAAATTCTTGCAGCGTGTCCAGCCACCTCGCCAATTGTCCGGATGGCTGGTCCATCTTAAGAGCATACTGCAAGGCCGCATGGTCCGTGCGGACAATAAACGACCGACCGTACAGATACGGTCGAAATTGGCGGAGAAAAAAAACAATGGCCAAAAGTTCCCTGCGAGTGACGCAGTAACGGGTTTCCGCGGGAGACAATACTCGACTCCCATACGCCACCACACGCTCAACTCCACCTTTCGACTGGGACAACACCGCCCCAATACCAGTGTCACTTGCATCAGTATCCAGAATGAAGGGATGTTCAAAATCCGGATAATCCAACGTCAGTGCAGTAGCCAGTAAATCGCGCAGGCTCCGAAACGCCGCCTCTTCCGGCGGTCCCCACACAAATTTATGCCCCTTCCCAGTAAGGAGATGCAAAGGCCTGGCGATAGTAGCAAAATTCGGAACAAACCTCCGATAATATGAGGCGAACCCCAAAAACCGACGCACATCACCCACCGTGGCCGGGGTTGCCCAATCACGGACACACGCAGTTTTCTCTGGATCCATGGCCACCCCGTCCGCACTAACAATATGTCCCAAGTATCGAACGGAGCGTTGCAGTAGGTGGCATTTCTTAGGCTTGAATTTCAAATTAGCAGAACGCATTCTGGTGAATACAGCCTCCAACCGCAGTAAATGCTCATCAAATGTGCGGCTGAAGACAATAATATCATCTAAATAAATGAGACATGTCTCCCACTGCAACCCCGTCAAACCCAACTCCATCAACCTCTGAAAAGTGGCAGGGGCCGCATTCAACCCCATCGGAAGACAGTTAAATTGGAATAACCCCTGCGGCGTACGGAAAGCTGTCTTTTCTCGCGAGGGCTCGTCAAGGGGGAGCTGCCAGAAGCCCGAAGAGAGATCTAGCGTTGAAAAAAACTTAGCCCCTGACAAGGCGTCGAGAGAATCGTCCATACGCGGCAGGGGATACGCATCTGCCACCGACACTTTATTCAAATTCCGAAAATCCACACAAAATCGCAATTTACCGTCCTTCTTTTTAACCAACACAACAGGCGCGCCCCACGGGCTATTAGACGGAGATATAATATCTGCTTTCAACATGTCATCCACTGCCCCTCGAACATGCTCACGCTCAGCCGGACTCATCCGACGCGAGTTCAAGCGGATAGGGGCAGCGTCCCCTGTGTCGATATGATGATAAAGCAGCGAGGTGCGTCCCAAGTCCAAATCGTCCGAGCTAAACACATCCGAATAACTCGATAATAATTTATGAATCGCACAACGCTGCTCGGCGGAAAGGGCCGAATTTTCCCCACATAATTCAGCAATCCAACGATCATCCACCCCTCCATCGTGTGAAACACCACCCACCAGCCCTCCGTCCGGCAGATCACTCTGAGCCGTAAACGCCGTAGTGACATGTGCCACAACGGTACCAGCCGGCACACACACGCTTTTAGTACTTGCATTTAACACCTGCAAAAACGGGCGCTGATCCGGACGGACAATAGTTTGCGCCCCCACCAGCGCCAATCCGCCCGTAACAGCGGCTGACGGTGACAGCAAAATCCCAAAAGCACCCTGCCGACCCGGAACCGGCTTCCGATATCGTAAGGGAATGAGCATCTGCGAGCCAGGTGGAATATCAACCGAAACTTCCGATAACGCCTGCACCTGGGCGACAGGAGCCGGTCGCCCCCAGGCGGACTGTAAAAATGCCAACTTCCGGCCCCCCGGTAGTTCAATGCAATTTTCATTGATTCGAATCAGAATGGGCATCTTAGCCAGAAAATCAGTACCCAACAGGCAAGGAACCGCCAGGGACCTCGAAATTAACACAACGCCCGAGGCCGAGACTCCCCCGATAGAAATGTTAGCGTCCACCTGTCCTACGATGCCCATACTACCCCCGTTCGCAGCGATGCAGGAAGCGTAAGCCGGCCTCACGGCCCCCGGTGGGATGTTCAAAAGATGGAATATTACATCCGAAATAATGGTCGCGGACGCACCGGAATCCACCAAAATACGTACGTCCACCCCTTGGATCGACCCAGGTACAGTGGACGAACCGGTAGCGGCCGCGACAACCCGCCGAGCCAGCTTACGCCACTGCAATATCGAGCGACAAGGCGCAGATACTGGCCTCCCGTATTTAATAACATCCGCGTCGCACAACAACGGCGATGAGTGAGGTGTCGGGCCTTGCCGGGTGTCTGGTGCGCACCGACTTGCCTGTGCTGGAGGATCTTTCTTTGGGGCGTCCGCTGTCGAGGCCTCCTGCTGGGGCGGACCCGGAACCCGGGCCCAGCAGTCCCTGGCATAATGGCCCCGACGGCCGCAGCGGAAGCACTCGACGTCGGAGCGGCGCGCAGCGGGCACCCCGTCCCGACGCGGCCGCACCGGCTGCGGAGCCCGCGGCCCCGGCCCGCTCCGGGCCGGCCACGGAGCAGAGGCAGCCGACAACTCCTTCTGGCCGGTCACATCCGGCACGTACACGGCCTTTGTAGGGTCCCACCCTACGGCCCCCCCATCGACGACAGGACCCCCCGTCCACGCCGTGACCTGTTTCCAGCGGCGGAGATTGAACTGGGCGTCCAGACACTTGGCCGCGGTCCGGGACGTGAGTTTTTCGTGACCGCACGCCGGCATAGGAATGTCCAGATCTCGGGACAACTCCAACATCTTCCCCAAAATGAGAGGTTCCAGCAGGTCAGGCTCCGTCTCCGGGTAAGCGGCCATAGCGAGTTCCAACACGGCGCCCCTATACGCCACAGGTGACTCCTCAGGTGCGCGTTGCCGTTGCACGAATCGGCGATGGGCGTCATCCGGTGGCTCGTACGCGTCCGCCATTTCATCGAACACCCCTCGCAGAGTCTTCTTCTTCGCAGCTTTTATAGAGCGGAAAAAACGAACGGACTCATCATCAAGAAGAGTCGGAAGCACCTCCAGTGCCTCCGCGTCCGTCCACCTTGCTGTACGTACCGCCGCCAAAAATCTACAGGCGAACGCACTCCAATCGCCCCCGATGGAGAATTCTTTGACGGTAGTAAGGTGACGACTGCGACTCCTTGGCTTGCTTCCGTCCGCCGCTGACTCCTCCGGTGGTAAATTCAACAAGGCGTCGCAACGCGGTGTCGACAAGATGGCGGACGACCGTCGCGGCGGTCCCAAAATGGCGGCTTCCCGCTTTCCGTGGTGCGCCACGCCCAAGATGGCGTCTTCACGCCGCGTGGCCGATGGCGGCGCCATCGAAGACGACCCGGGCTCCTGCCGATCACCACCATCACCTTCCAACGCCGTTCTTGGTGTGACAAGGTCACACAACTCTGTGATGACGTTTTTGAGAGTTGCCAGTTGTTCCGCCATCCGGGTCCATCTTAAATCGTCGTCCTTCAACGCAGATGGGTCCGACGAAGCGGCAACCTCCTCGACACCCGGGCCCTCACGGATCTCTCCTTCCGCCGAAGTCAAGCCGACCTCAGGAGGAAGATCGTCGTCGTCCGAAGATGAAGCCGACGCCGGAGATGGAATATTCTTTTTCCTCAATTGTTTCGCCATGCCGTTTCACTTCTGACTCCAGTGTAATAAAAGGACTCAGACACTTCTTTCTGACTTCGTGTCCTTTATTGGGTTCTTGTCTTCTCCCACACGGCACTCTGTTATAACACTGTATTTGTAGCCCCCGGTTGTTATCGCTATTATAGCTTCCTCTCTCTCTCCCCGCAGACTCTCTGCCTCGTCTACTGTGACCTCCGTTCTCTCCCTGCAGACTCGCTGCTAACTCTCTATGCAGACCCCCGCTGCTAACCCTATATGCAGACCCTCTTGGCTGCTACTCTGTATGCAGACCCGCTGCCAACTCTGTATGCAGCCCCGCTGCTGACTGCAGCCTCCTCGCTGCTTCGGGTCGGTCACCGCTGGCCAACGGTGCCGATCCTCGTTCCCCTGTGTTCGTGGCGATCTCGCCACCCTCCGCTTCGCCCTTCGTGGCCTCTCCCGTTCCTGGTCCCCCGTCACTCCCTTTCCTCTTCCGGTTCTCCTCCCTCTATAGCTTAACCCCTCTCCCCCGCGTGACCTAACTCCTCCCCTCCTGCCGTCACTTCCGGAGGGCCGTTTACGCCCGCATTACACAAGGATCACAATGTACTCTGACTTATGGAAAGCAGGAAATAAGACAGAGCGAGTGGTAAACGACCAAAATTATGGGGAAACGGATATTTTAAAGAGGTGAGTTTTCAGGGCGAGATTTAAATAGCTCTGAATAATTTTGATTGTCTTATTGTCAGAGGCAACGCGTTCCATAGTCTTGGAGCTGCACTGGCAAAAGCGCCATCACCCCAGGAACGGAGCCTTCACCGCGGTAAACTAAGAAGAAGGCGATCAGAATATCTCAAGGACCTCATCATTGGTGGTGTATAGAAGTTGATCAGTTCCTGTAAGTAATGTGGGGCTAATCCATTGACAGCCTTGTAGGTCAATAGCAGGAACTTTATAATGAATTCGATATTAGATTAGTAGCCAATGCAAGGACAAGGGTGTCATGTGCTCACGAAATGGTCTTCTTGAGTAACTAACTGACTGAGCGGTACTATCAGATTTCTGGTCAACTCGCAGCTCTGCAAGTCGACGTCATGCATGATGATTTCTGCGAGGTACACAAGATTGAGAGCAGAGCTTGGAGGTCGCACGTTGACTTTTCTGTAGCTGATGGATCTAGCGGGGGGTGGGGGGGGATGCGTTGGCAATAAGGCGTGGGGTGGCATCGATGGCTTTGGCCGTGGTCACTTCTTAACCTTGGTTTGATCAGTAGCAATACTGCAATGGCATTAGATGTGAAGAGGGTTAAATGTTGGATCGATCGACCATTCTGTCTTGGATGAGGCTAAGTATTCGATATTGGAAATGGAATAATTGTTTGTCAGATGAGACAAAGGTTTAGGAATAAGTTAGGCAATGGTGTTTTTGTTTTTTTTAGACGTGGAAAAAGGTTTTGGGAAGAGCGGTGGTGCAGTGGTTAGCGTGCTGAGCTACACAGCTAACATGAGTGGTTGACACTGGCCTGCAAAGTGAACCGGAAGTTTACAGGGGGTTCTGCATCGTTTGAAGGCTCTGTTTTGGATGAATCGAAGTTTCTGCATTGAACAATACAAAGGTTCTGTAATGGATGAGAGTTTTGTATTGGATGAGACGAGGGTGACACGGTGGCGAGATGTTAACTACCTCGCCTGGTATACAAGAGCTCGTGGGTTGGATCCCGACCCTGACGCTTCTATATTTGGAATTTGCATTGTCTGTCTCCCCGCGGTTGCATGGATTATTCTCCGGTTCCTCTGGTTTTTCCCACCACATTTATAATCAACATGCGTTCAGAGTATTTGGCTGCTATACATTTCTCCGTTATAAGCCACTTCGTTGAGCTATCATTTGTGGCTAGATCTCTTCTGAAAAAGTGCCACATGGCTCAGTGGGCCTTACCTGGTAAAATAAAAATTCGTTTTTAGTTTATCCGCCTGATAAAACAAAAACTGTGGCTGGTAGTTTTAGATGCCACGTACATGGTGTACCAGTTGTGCCCACAGATGTCATTTGAGTCACGTATCCGTCCCATGGAGCCGACGTCAACCTGACACTGACTCACCCAGCAGGGAAGGGAAGCCGTGGTAGCGCACGAGCGCCATCACCAGTGTGTGCAGCAGGGAGCACAGCAAGAAGACTACACAGCCCTGCGGACACACACGGAAAACCAGCACGGTGAGGTCGCCTGCATGCGGGATAGGAGTGGGACATGTGTTTAGAGTATTTGGCTGCTATAAATTTCCACGTCATAAGCCAATTAATTGAGCTATAATTTGTGATAGCCAGGTCGCTTCTGAAAAAGAGCTATATAGCTCAGTGTGCCTTACCTGGTAATATAAAATAGTTTAGTTTAGAGTTTATAGTTAGTTTGCGACAGAGCAGTGAGTCATGGGAGGAGGGAGGCAGGTTTAAGGGGGTTTACAGCTTAAGAGGACGTTATGGAGTGGAAGATGGCAGCAGCTTTCACGCGGACCGCTCTGTTAAGTGAGAAATCATGACTAATGCCACCGACGTGGCAAACCGAACATCGATCATCGATCTCCCGGTCTCCAGAGCAACAACTCGAGCCACCGTAATGGCCCGCTGCTTTTCGAGCGCTGGACAAACACGCCGGATCGGTCCTGAAACGAGGGATCCTCCGACTAAACATGGAGGGACTTTGCCAGATAGCGTGCAAGTAGCTCGTGAACATTTTCAAGATGCGTCCCATCGACGTCCTCACGCTGCCATAAGTTCACGTCTCTAAAATGACCAGCAGGCCCAGTTGCTTGCGCTATCCATGGATACAACCTCACGAGACTAGCCACTGCCACCCGAAATATGGCCTGGCCACATTCGTGACTTTGAGAGTATAGAGGCAGAAAGAAGACGAGATGGACAGAGAGGTGATAAGATGGAGACGAAGTAAAGGAAATGAGAGACACGGCAGGAGAGGAAAAGTGGAGGAAACCAGAGCTGAAAATCAAAACAGTGGAAGAGACCTAGAGAGGGAGAAAGACCAGGGTGTGCAGGTCTGAGAGAGGGAGAGAGAGGGACCAGGGTGTGCAGGTTTGAGAGAGAGGGAGAGGGGGACCAGGGCGTGCAGGTCCATGAGGAGGATTGCAGACGGCCACACGGAGAAGCTCAACCCAGGGTCTTCCTCCGAGAGCCAGAAGTCATGCTCCGCACGGCTCTCCCGGCCAGCCGCATCCTGTGGGGCGCACACAAACACAAAAGGCGATCAGCCGGCCAGCATAGCAATGTCCTTATAGATGGAATAGAGATGGAAATTAATCTATTTGCTGAACTGCCATCATACCCTGGCAAGCTAGGAGTTGGCAACCTCGACGCTCACGGGCCGAGAGGGAGTTTAACGAGCCTGCGTGCAAACCCACCGACCCTCGCCGCCTCCGCAGTGCTGGATTGCAGGTAGCCACGTGCGGCACGGCCGCCAGCACCCGGGTCGCACGAGGAAGGCGGAGGAACATGCGGTGCACTCGCTCACCACGGCGGAGACGGCGATGCGGTGCAGCGCTTCATTTGCGTACAGACGTGGATCCCAGGGCAGGACGTAGAGCGGGGCGTCCCCCGCAGCCCGGCTTGCGTTTCCCAGCGGCGTGCCATCCACACTCACGGACACGCGCAGCACACGCACAGGAGAGAACACCAGCACCCTGCGGGGCGAACACGCATCACGGACACAGGTCACGGACACGCGTCACAGACACGGGTCAGGGACACGGGTCACGGACACAGGTCAGAGACACGAGTGAGGGACAGGGACCAGGGACAGGGTCAGGGGGACACAGGTCAGGAAAAGGGACAGGGTCAGGGTGACAGACACGGGTCAGGGACACGGGCATGGGAGAGAACACTAGCACCCTACAGGGAGAACATGCAAACTCTAAATATACAGGCATCAGGGTCAGGATAGAACCCACAACCTTCTGTAAGCCAGGCGAGGTAATTGACATCCCGCTACCGTAGCGTATTAAGAGTAGGTGTCCCATATCAGGAGTCATTTGGCTGCAATACATTTCCACATGATAAGTGGCCAGGTCGCTTCTGATAAAATAAAAATAGTTTAGTTTTATTACATTTATACATTTTTAGTGATTTGATTAGTTTTTCCTATACTTTCCACTGCTATCGTTCTGTTGTATTGTTTGTTGTAACTTTCTAACCCGCCCCCCCCTTCCAGGAGATTTACAGGCTCATTGGATTTCTCCAGGATAAATAAGCATGCCGATTCCGATCCCCATTGAGGAGGGCAGGTGCCGACCTGACGTGGCTGGATCTCTTCATGCGCCCGAGCGGCTCGCGCGTGGCCCGGCTGTACAGCGCCGCCTTGGGGTTGGTGATGAGCACCGCTGGCCAGCGGTCCAACTCAAAGTCCCCAAAGCTCAGCAGGTCGTGATCAATGGCCATGACGCGGTACCTGCGAGTAGGGGGAGGGGGGGATTCCACCACAATCTGCCAGTCGCATCTTTGCTCCGGGGGTTCAAGTGTGATTAACGTACGTGTGTACGTATGTTGAACTTATCTTGCACTATACGTAGCCAATCGTGGCACTAATTGGAGGTGTCCTGCTCGGGACCTCAATGCAGTGAAGTTACAAGCATGAATCTACGTTTCTACAACTGGCTGCATAGATCTGAATTAATTTATTTTGAAACATAGTTGCTGAGCACAGGTCCAAAGGCCCAAAACATCAAAGTTATAATAGATAAGCTGACACGTTTCTTGAATTGAGCAAGGTGTTTGTAAGATGCTGGGAGGAGGGAATTCCAAAGTGGAAGAACCAGAAAGGGAAGTGGGGTGACCCGCAATTTGGTAGCGGTGCTGGTACCTGCGGTTGTGCATCCAGTCTCCCAGCTCCAGCTCCAGCATGCCGGTGCTGTGCCGCGTGTGCATCACGGGTGCCAGTCCTCCCAGTGTGTGCAGGTGCCCGCACAGATACGCAGAGGCTCGGCTGCATGCGCAACAGAGGGAGACACGGGCCCCGTACAGAATCGAAGGAGCGATTCTAGAGGTGACGAGCAAATCCCTGAGAGAAGTGTGCCGGAGACTCCTACGGAATAACCTATAAACTAGACAATTTTTAATTTTATCAGGCAAGGCCCACTGAGCTCTTTTTCAGAAGCGACCTGGCCACATTTGAAGTGGCTTATCATATGGAAATGTATACCAGCCAATTACTCTTAATGCATGTTTCTAAATGTGGAGTGAAAATCCGGAGGACCCGGATAAAAATCTACGCGACCAAAGGGAGAGAGAGACGCAAACTCCAAATATACAGGTGTCAGGGTCGGGATCAAACCCACGACTTCCTTTATACCAGGCCTCAGCACAGATTCATTGTCCTTCTGTTTGTCTTGGTGTGTGTCTCGCTCAGTGTGTCTTTGTGTGTGTCTCTCTCTGCATGTGTGTCTGCCTATGCTGTTCTGTGTTTTATCATTCAGTCTTACCTGATGATGGTTGCTTGTGTTGCAACCGAAACGTCGTATTCTATTATTATTTGATTTGATTTGACTACCGAAAGAACCAAAGAATAATTCCTGCAGTCACGAAAACTTCGAATCTAGTTTTATCCTTTATACCAGGCGAGGTAGTTAACATCTTGGCACCGTGGCGTAATTATGGCGACACTAAAGGGGCACGGAATGGTCTACGGCATTGGTTCCCAACATGTTGCTTGCCGTGTACCTCCTACCAGCATACATTTTTATATTCGTGTGGCAACAGGGTAGCACAGTGGTCATACTTGTGCCTGACAGTAAGAGGCACCTGGGTTCAACTCCTGATTCGGACACCTCGGTGGAGTTTATATTCTCCCTCTATTCAGCATGGGATTCCTTCTGGTTTCCTCCCATTGCTAGAATGTTACAATCTCATTGGTGTTGGTCAAACGTTCTGATGTAGCAGGACCCTATTCACAAGATTCTTCGGACTTGGTGTGGCTGTCCTTGGTATGAGTAGTTATTATTCAATTACATAATAGAATATGCACTGTATTTTAATTACTGCTGTATAATTAATACTGAACACATTTTATTTACCATGTAATAACACTTAGCTAAATATTGACAATTTAATATGTACGCTTCAATAACACTTCAAGAAATCACCACTGTGCAGATAAAGCCGGGTCACTTCCCATCGCCACGAAGCGGAGTGGAGAGGCTGAGTCTAACTCTTAATAAACTCCTTAAAAAAGTTTTTTTTTTTAACAACGGTTTTATTCACAACTTCGTTTAACTCACGGTCGAGAAGGTCGTCAGTGATGCAGCGCCTGCTCCCACATCAACGCTTACTTTAATAAATTAGTTATTTTATAAATGAATCTTCAATGTACAACTTTTGTGTGGAGTGAGGGTGCCCGTAACTCGTTCACACGGAGCAGGCGCGCCTGAGACATGTGGCGCCTGCTTCTTTGGCGAGGCGATTCGAGTTTAGGGACCGCGGCGTTTTTGACCTACACAAATATATATACATAATAAGGCACCCATACAAAATGTTAATTGCTTTAAAGGAGCCAAATAATTTATTCATTGATGCCGATTTTGATACAGGCACGCATTGTCACCGGATATGTGTACGTGTGCAAATTTTGGAATTGATTGGACAACAGGAAGTAGACTACATTTTGATTACAAGATTTGACCACGACAAAGAGGAATCAAGTTAAGTAAAACCGTGGGAAAAAAAACTGAAGAGATTTTCTGCCGGGCTTGAAGGAATACATTTATCATAATTTTTGCATATTCACAGTAATATTTGTAAAAAAAAATTTAAAACATGCTTAAAGAAATGTACCGTTCTAGTAATGGAAGTGCTCCATGACTCCAGGAAGTGGCCCAGAAGCTTGCCATAACGTAAGGGACCGTGGTGATTTACAGCCAACGTCAGTTGAGCGTGGACAATTAGACCCAAGCCGAAACATTACATATTAAAAATAATGTTTAAATATATATACATTTTTAATGATAGAATATGGTATTGTCATCAGTATGACATAAGTATACCAAGTTTGCAGTCGATACCACATTGGGAAGTGGGTTAAAATTGAGTTATAAGACTTGAGGATACAACAACAGAGTGAGTTAATAGAAAACGTGTAACAAAAGTTAAACGAATCTGTTTAAATGAGAGAGAAAAACATGCCCTAGAAGAGCACGCGGATAACCCAGGAGGACTAGTGCTCGGGTTCACTGAATTCCATGCAACAGATCAGAATCAGAATATTTATTTATACTGGAGGAATCCGATGAGATATAAAGCTCTTTTTCACAGATCTCCAGAAGATAAGTATACGGCTGTAGAATTGCTTGTGCATGCACACACAGAGCAAGCGCTGCTGCTTTATAATTCCACGTGACCACCGCCGTGACGGGGTTTGTCACGCGCACCCCCCCCCCCCCCCACGGTTGAGGTGGTTCGGGCACCTGGTAAGGATGCCCCCCGGTAGACTTTCTCTGGAACTTTCCTGGGCATGTCACACTGGGTGAAGACCCCGGGGCCAATCCAGGACACGCTGGCGCTCGGCTGGTCTGGGAACGCCTGGGAATTCCCCAGGGACAGAAAGAGTCCGTTGCCAGGGAGACGGAGGTCGAGACCACCCGACTCAACATGCTGCCACCTTGACCCTCACCATGACAGGCGGATTGAGAAACATAGCCCCACAGGCCGGGAACCACCGGCCTGTGGTTTTAAAATAATAATTTACATTTGTAAGGCGCATTTCATCCCAGGATCCCAAAGCATCATAAAGGTCTAGGACAGGGGATCGGCAGCATGTGGCTCCGAGGCCGCATGCGGCTCTTTAAGGACTTCTTCGTGCTGTTATTTACTGAAGGACCATCACCACCTCGTATTCATCACACGCATTGCGGCTCTTGAAATATTGAGTTTTTTTTCCGAATTAGAACAAAAATGGCCCTTCTTGTTATTTTGGTTGCCGACCCCTGGTCTGGGAGAACTGAGAGAGTGGTCAGATTAGATTAGATAAATAATTTGGTGAGAAGAATGGCAATAACCCTTACATCCAAAGATTCAAAATCATCATCACGATCCATGGGCAGATAGCACGTAGGTGTCCACTGCACATGTCGTCATTTGTTTCCACTTTCCTCTGTCTCATGCCAATATGCTCAAGTCATGCCATATCGGTCTGGCACCAATCTCTTGTCGTCATTAAGCCATTCTCTGTGAGGTCTTCCTCTGTTTCCGTTTCCTTCCATTTTTCCGAACAACACACTTTTAATTGTCCTCTTGTTGTCCACCCTACATATGTGCCCAGTTTCCTTCTCACCACTGCCTGCATCATCATAGTCTTCTTCTACGTGCAACCTTCCAGCTTAAATACAGGAGTATTTTTCTGTAGGAATAGATTACTAGTGTAGTGACATACGACGTCACTACTGTGTCGGGACTGTACGAGCGTAGGGACATATGACGTCACTACTGTGTTGGCTCAGTATGGGTGCTGTAGGCGGGTGTCATGGGGGTCGTGTCAGGCCGTGACACTCTGCGTGAACTCAACAGGACTCGTGACCTGATAAAGGGGGGCTAGGGACCCTAGGGGGGAGCTTTGGGGTCAAGTGGTTAGGGGCCCGGACCTTCTCGAAAGATCGAGAAGGGGGGCGTGGCCTGGGGCGGTGCCGGCCATGCCGCAGCGGTTATAAAAGAGCGGGGCTGTTTAACCCCGGGATAAAGATACCATCAATGGTCTTGGGAGTCTCCGACCTTCGTCCGTGACCAGGCAGCCCATCACCTGCCCTGGTCACGCTGTGTAGTATTCCCCGAGTGTTAGTGAGATTAGGAACGGTGGTCACCACTCTGTGTATAATATTCCAGTTGGTTGTTATGCGTTAATAAATAGTGTTGCCTCCAAGTTGAGTGTGCACCTCAATCGAACCCATTACATTTGGTGTCGGAAGTTGGGTTCGAGGTGCGTTCTGACGACGCTGCTCTCCAATGCGCTTTACGCGTCGAGCAACCGTTCGGCCAGCTCTCCCGCTGGCTGGAAATTCTGCAATATTACTCCTTTCAGGTTTCCTACCGTAAGGGTGTGTGGCACACTATTGCAGATGCCCTTTCACGGCTCCTTCCGCCTGGGGACTGCGCGTGCCTCTCTGGTTTGGGCCGCTGCAAATTCGCCACCGCAGCGGTATCCCCTGTGGTTGTAGCGTCGCGGGGGGCTTCCACCCCTGATGGCCCCGGGGTTCTAGTTGTGCACGATGCCACCCTCAGTTTGAGCTACGATGAATGGGGGCGCCTCCAGGCGGAGGATGCCTCTTGAAGCTGCGGCACCGTGTCGGTGATGAGGGGAACGTGTCGGGCCGGCGCAGGGTGGCCCTTGTCATTCTAAAGGACGGCCTTTTAATGTTTTGAGACGGCGGCTTGCATCGCTACAGTCTTGTGGTGCCTACGACCCTCAGGGGTAGATTTATTGTGGCTGTACATGAGCGACTTATGCATCTCGGTGTACAGAAGACCCTGGCTACCCTTCAACTCAATTCTTTTTGGCCCGAAATGGCTGCGGATATGAAGAATATACTTAAAGGCTATGTGCAATGTGCTCGCCGAAAACCGCCAGCTACTAAGTGCTGTCCGCCCTTGCAATCTATTCGAGTGTCGCGCATTAACGAGCTTGTCGCGCTCGATGTCCTCGGGCGTGGAGTATTTCTCCCGCTGGCCGGTAGCTTGGTCGCTCCCCAACCAATCGGCTGCGGCCATCGCCAGCGCATTCCTCCATGGATACGTGCTGGAAAAGGGGCCCCAGAACGCCTCCTTACTGACCAAGGGAAAAATTTCTCATCCAAACTGTTGCGAGAGGTGTGCGACCTTTTGGGCATGAAGAAGGTTCGCACGTCGCCCTACCATCTCCAGATGGAAGGGATGGTAGAGCGACTCAACAGGACTCTGACCTCCATGCTGAGTCAGCAGGTCCCAGGGTGACTGGGACCTGCA